GCTGTCAGCACAGAGCCCATCGCAGGGCTGTAACTCAGGAACAATGAGATCATGACCTAGGCCGAAGTCCACGCTTGATTGGCTGAGCCACACAGGTGCCCCTTGATTGCAGCACTGTTGACATTCTGGACTGGATGATTTTTGTGAGGGCTGTCCTATGTGTTGTAGGATCTCCCACATGGTGCCAGTAGAACCCCTCTCCAAGTGACAACCACAAATGTCTCCAGACATTGCCAAGTGTTCTCAGATGAGAACCATTGCTTAACTACCCACTCACAAGGCGGTGATATCCACATCAGCCAGAAAGGCTGCAGCCCCTGAACTCCTGCAGTCCTGAGGCTGCGGACAGAGGAGCTACTGAGCCAAGGCACCGGGACAGTTAGGGCTTTGGTGGCATAGTGAGTGGGAGCTGCCAGGAAAGCAGCATATGGGGATGTCCCAGGCCTCCAAGACTGGTCAGTGAAGGAGCTGAGTTGTTCTTACTCATCTGTCCATCCTCTCTGCTCGTCTGGCCTGGCTGTTGAGACCAGAGCACTTTGACTCAGTAACAGAGTAACAGTAACTCCAGGGCCAGGCTCAGATGGGCCATGGTGATTAGTGCAGGAGCCTTGGAACCAGGTGTTTGGGCAACACCGAAGGAGGGGGTTAAAGGGGAGAGGCCAAAGGTTCTGACTCTCTTTTTCAACCCAAGGAAAGAAAGTCATAGTGAGAAATTAGACTGAATGAGCCCCTGATTTGTGAAATAGACTCTCCACACTCTTGCCTGTAGTGTCACAGCAAATCAGTTAAGAGTGTGAGCTCTCAGGTGCCTGGCTGGCTAGGTTGGTAGAGTGTGTGACTCGATCTCAGTGTTGTGGGTTCAAGTCCCACGTTGGATGTAGAGATTACTTAATAAAATCTTAAAAAGAGAGAGAGAGAGAGAGAGAGAGAGAGAGAATGGGCTCTGGACCCAGGCTGTCTGTTTCAAACCCTAGGCTCTGCCACTAAATGTCTGTGTGACCTGAGGCAAGTTACTTGCCCTCTCTGTGCTTTAGTTTCCATTGTCAAAATGGGGATGACAGCTAGCACCTACCTCTGAGGGTTGTTGGGAGAATGAAATGAATGATTAAGTGTTTAGAACAGTGCCTGGCACACACATGCTGTGGAAGTGTTTGATAAATAAATTTCCGACAATCCTTCCAAGTAGGAATTATCCTCATTTTGCAGATCAAGTTGAATGAGCTAGTAAGAGGCAGAGCTAGGATTTGAACCCAAGCTGATCTGACTGTCCAGACCTGTGTTTTTTCACATGGCTTTAGGTATGAGATGGGAAGTGGGGCCAAGTCTGTGGCCTGGGTGGGACATGCTTTACATCATAAGGCAGCTCTGGACAGTGCCCCCTCTGTCCTGTTGTAGAGACCTGAGCAATGGCTGTAGCCTGGAAGTAGGTGGATGGCCACCCCAGTGTCCCACTGTCTGAGCAGGTGAGGGCTGCTGCTGGAGTCAGAGACAACCAGGGTCTTTCACTTACTATCTGAGCCGAGGCAGGGACTGTCACGGTGTGGACCCCATGGGCACTGGCTGGTGGAGGGAATTACCTGGCAGACAGACAGCTGCGATGGCACCTGAACTAGGAAAAGGCGCTGGGTCCCAGACGGGCAGGAGGAGGAAGGTAGCAGTGGTCAGAGATGCTAAGGAACACAGCCCTCACGTGGACAGCTTGGGAGGGTCAGTGACAGGGGAGCCTGCTGGGGGAAGGCCCAGGTCTGCCACTACCCTCCTTGTCAGCCTTTCTGGGCCTTCCTGCCCTGACTTTTGAGACCCGCCATCTGTTCCTGGGCAAGAGCCCTGGGGGATTCTGAGGCATGTGGTCTGTGAACTGCACTTGGAAACACTGCCTTAAACAACATGCTTCCCTCTATGGACCTCAGTTTCTTCATCTGTAAAATGAGGAGGTTGGCTTATGTTTCTTCCACATGTAGCAACCTGATTTAGCCCCCGTTATGCCTCATGTTGGCACCATTTGTCCAAGCACTCTGTGCACATGGCCTCATTTACTCTCTGAGGCGTTAAAACATGTATGTTTGGATCCATGGTCACAGGGTGAATTTGTGGCCTGGTCAGACCCCAAGACTCCTGCGTTGCCTACTTTGGGTCCATTTGGGGTAAGCCCTGACCCCAATCACCCCCTCCGCCCCTTCTCTCTCCTTCAGGTCTCAGCCTCCCCAGATCCCAGCTCTCCTAGGGAAGAGGAGAGGACCCCCCCGCTCCCCAGAACCCGCCTCCAGGCAGGGCCACGCCAACATAGGCGCCGGGCTCTCAGTGAGCCAGCAGCCCTGAGCCTGGACAAGGCGTCCATGCCAAGGACCCTGGAGGACACTCCCTTGCTGCTGGAGCTGCAGAAGCTGCCAGGATTGGCCAACACAGATTTGACTGCCCCAAACCCCAATATCCAGGTGAGAGCTACAGGAGGGCATAGGCCCAGTGGACACCTAGAGAGGAACTGGGCTGACCGGCTCCATCCTGAGGTCAGGCGTCCCCATCCTGTATTCCTTGGAGGGCGGGGGTTCTTTTGGGGTCACAGAGTAGTGGGGGCTGCTCCTCTACTTCCCAGCTGCGGGCCGAGCAGGGCATGTGGTCCTCTGAGCCTGTGTTTTCCAGTCCATAGCAAAGGAGAAACAGCACCAGCCTGGTAGGGCTGTCATGAAGACCCAAGGAGTGGGGAAGCTTTGTGGATGGCAGGGCCTTCTAGGGAAATGGGGAAGGGGCGACTTGTGGCCCCTACCCAGGCCCAACCCTTCCTGCAGGGTTGGTTGAGTGCAGAATGGGGTGGGCTCGTGGTAGGGGGCTGCCCGCCAGAGGGGCTTTATGGAGCCAGTGGGATTCCAGTTTACATTCTCCACTGCCAGTCCTCAATCCCTGATGATAAGAGTCCTGCATTTTGTGCAGCACCTACAGTTTGCAAAACACTTTCATCAAAAGAGAAAAGGCAACGGGGAAGTGTAGAAACTAACATTCTAAACTTGTTTAAGAGTTTGTGTGTATGCGTGTGCACGCGCGTGCATGTGTAAAACCTGGAAGTTTAATTATCAAAATGTTATTTGTCAGAGATGGAGTGGGGGCGATTTTAATTTTTTTCATTATATTTTGCTGGTTTTCCCCCAAATTGTGTTCGGCGATCTTGTATTATTTTATAATAGCCAAAAACAATGTTTCAAAATTCACTTTCATGTAAATGATTTCATGTTACTTATTTCCCATCCACAATGTGGTGAATGAGAGCCCCCCCCCCCCCCCCCCCCCCCCCCCCCCCCCCCCCCCCCGCCCCACCCAGGGCTGCTGTGGGACTTTGCTCTCTTTGCTATCATTTTCCAGCCCTACAACGAGACCCAAGGCTGTTAGTGGCCCCTAATTCTGGGCAGCCTGCAGCAGAGTTCACAGCCAGCTTCTCTTAAACTAGTGGGTCTCTACCCTTGGCACATGTTAGAGCCACCATACCTAGCCCCACCTCAGATAATTAAATTCATGTCTAGGGTTAGGTCAAGGAGTCTGGAATATCCAGGGGATTCTGATGCACAGCCAAGTCTTAAATTGTGACCCCGTGTGCCCTGGGAGGCCAGGAAGGTTGGCCAAGAGAATGAGCTGGTTTGGAGGAAAGGTTGGTCCTCTGCCCCTGCCCCCACACTTGTCATCTCTCCTCTCCTTGGAGCCTTGCTCTGAGCACTCCTTCACTGGCTGGCCTGTGTCTGACCCTCTGCAGGTGACCATCGAGGTGGTGGAGGATCCCCAGGCGGAGGTGGAGATGGACCTATTGGCTGAGCCCAGCAGTCGCTGGCCCCAGGGTGCCTCTAGCTGGCTGTCCGCCAAGGAGCTCTTCTGGCCCCTATTCTGGAGCTACCTGGAGGGCGAGGAGGGGAGGACCAATCTCAAGGGCAGAGCCCCAGGGGAAGAAGTGGAGGAGGAGGATTACCCTGCAGAGTATAGTGAGAGTGAGGACCAGGAGGACAACGAGGAGGAAGAGGAGGAGGAAGAGGAGCCTGGGTTCAGTGGGGCCACAGGCAGCTGGGAGCAGGGCTGGCTGGCCCCTGGGGACTGGGCCTTCAAGGAGCCAGACGGCTATGGTGAGCATCCCCACCTTGGCATCCCCGGCTGCTGCTTCTGGAAGTTCTGAGAGTAACTGGGGCTAAAGGGAGGTCTGAGAGCTTCACCGAGCAGGGGCAGCTATGAAGGCCAGAAGCTTAGGCCTGTACAAACACCATCATCTGCTAAATAGCAACATTACCCATAGCTTGCAAAATCTGTTTTTCCCCCAAACATTTGACCTTCACAACAGCCCTGAGACCCCCTAAGCAAATCGACGTTTGTTAATTTTACATATATTCATAGTTGTCACTTTCCAACAAATTGGGAAATATGGTAAACCCCACCACTCATAACTGACCTCATGTTCAGATTGTGTGGGCTTGAATCCTGGCTCTGCTGCTTACCAGCTGAGTGACCTTGGGCAAGTTACTTAACCTCTCTATGCCTAATTTACTTCCTCTCTAAAATGGAGAATGGCACAACCCTTAACTACATAAGATTGGGCGTAGAGGGTATTGAGTTAATACATTTAAAGTGCCAGCATGTAGTAAACTAAGTATTGGCTGTTTTTATTATTTTTATTAGAAAACAACATAGCACAGACTATCAGGAAATACCACCTAACACCTGGCCAGCTCCCATGACAGCCATTCTTGTTGTCGTTCAGGTTTTCCTGGGTACAGACGTGTTTCATGGACAGTTACAGCCATTCTCCCTAGAGCCCTGGTATTTCATCCTTGGACAGTGGTGCCATCATTAAGACTAAGGCATAGCAGGCTTTCCCTGGTTCACCAAAATGATGTAAATTGGCAGTTTTCATGCCTTTCAGCTTTTCTTCCATTAATTTTCCTTAAACTCTTGGTGCTCACCTGCTCCGGCCTGCCTGGGAAGTGAGGAGAGAGCTGGGTATGTCAGTACTTTGGGGGTTCCACAGAGCCCCCTGGGTCTCAGCCCTGCAACAGCCAGAGAGAGATCTGAGGGTGCAGTCATGGTGTATTTCAGGTTCCTCAGACCAGGTCTTGGTCCCTATCATGGAAAGTCAGGACTTTCCTTCATGTCCCCAGTGCTGGGGAAGTGTTGTCAGCCTTGGTTTTAATTGACATAAAAATTATAGGTCAGAGGAGCGCCTGGGTGGCTCGGTTGGTTGAACATCTGACTTCGTCTCAGGTGATGATCTCTCTGTTTGTGAGTTCGAGCCCTGCATCGGGCTTGCTGCTGTCAGTGCAGAGCCCACTTCGGATCCTCTGTCCACCCCCCCTTCTCTGTCCATCCCCTGCTCTCTCTCTCTCTCTCTCTCTCTCTCTCTCTCTCTCTCTCTCTCTCGAAAATAAATAAACATTAAAAAATTACAAAAAAAAAAAACCCTCTAGGTCAGAGACGTAGGAGTACTTGCCCAGGGTCACATTGACAGTGGTCAGGTAGCTTCCAGCCCCAGATATCTTTTTCTCTTCATCGCTGTGTTGGCACAGAGTGGGTGGCTGGGATTGTTGCTGTGTCTGTAGAGCCACCTGATGATTTACATGGGTGTCCACCATGCAAGGGTCCCCGGCTGAGGGACAGGTGGGGGCTGAAGTCCAGCCCGTGCTTCGTCCACTAGGCTGGGAGCCCTGGCACGGATGGCACCCTCCTGAGGAAGGGGTACCCTTAGCTAATCTGCACCAATGCGCCCTGTGGGCTGTGCTCACTCACCCCTGGCTCCCTGCCTTGACCCAGACTATGAGCTTCAAGAGGAGTGGAGCCCCTGGTCTCCCTGCAGTGGGAGCTGCGGCAGCGGCAGCCAGAGGAGGACTCGGCCCTGCGGCTACGCCTGCACTGCCACCGAGTCCCGTGCCTGCGACCTGCCCCTTTGTCCTGGTGAGACGAACCCCAGCTCCTACACAGGCAGAGGCTTACACTCTGGGCTTGGCCCCCTGGGAATGTGGGCCTTGTTTGAGGGTGGGGCCTGGAGAAGGGATGCAGGAAGCTTATAGACACGGTGGTTCTGCCTCGTCCCAGGCCTAGTCCAGATGCTGTGGGCACCGAGAGCCTAATGAGGGCTGGGCTTCCCCACTGGGAGCACAGAGGTGCCCTGGGGCCCCACCAGCCTGGCCTCCTCTCTTCCTAAAGGCACCGAGGACAAGGACCCCTCGGGCTTCCCCGGTGAGGGGTGGCCGCCCCTGGCCCACAATGCTACGGACATGCTCAACCCAGGTCAGTGGGGAGCTAGGCCCTGCTCCTGGGGGCTTGGGGAGAGCCTCTCTCGGGAGGGTGGAGCATCACTGCACAGGAGGAATCTCACCCCCATCCACTGAGGCAGAGTACATGTTCCAGCTGGAAGATTAGTCTCCCCAGCAAAGAGGCCCTGTCATTTCTGAGTCCCTGTCATTTCTAGCCAGGCCATTGGCCTTTCCCAACCTGATATTCCTGCTGGGAAGACCGTCCTGATGGGAGCCACTGAGGTTGGAGATCCACCTGGTGGGGCATATTCTCCCTGGCTGCGGGAAGGGATGGCGACATTCTGGCTTCCATTCCCGGGTGCTCTTGGAGGCTCCTGGGTAGGCTCTGTGTGGGAAGGGATGCCGTCAGAAACAGTTTAGGGGCCAGAATTCCAGAACTGCTCCTTCCAGCAGTTTGGAGCAGACGGTACTTTCACTGGACATTCTGCATCTCTGTCTCTTGGTGTCACTTGCCCCTCACAAGGAGGTAGGCAGCTGCCAACAGGCCCCCTCGCGGGTGGGACCTATGCTCAATACTGTGAAGCTCCCTGAGCTGGCGTGGTGGGCCTGGCACCGTGCAGGGCAGGGGTTCCCAGAAGACTAAGGCCCGGGATCTGCCTTCAAAGAGCTCGGGTGTTAGGGGGAGAGACACACACGACCAACTTGAGCACAATGCTGCAGAGTGTGCCCCAAAGTTCTGGAGCGAGGAGGAAGGAGCCATTCCTTCTGCGTGGCCAGAGTCAGCGGCCACATTCCCAAGGTAGAGAGAAGGGAGGAAGACAGCATAGATGGAGGGGGTCACAGCGGGCGGAGGTGAGAGTGGGCCAACACGCTTTTTTACCAGTTGCTTAAAACAGCGGTTCCTGTGCCCGACCACCCCAGCTCCTTCCCCAAGACCCCAGATCTTCCCCACCATCCAGCACATAAAGGGACAGCACCTGGCACTTCAGACAGCCTCCAGGCTCCTCCTCCAGCCCCTTGGCCAACATCCATTCTGAGCCGTAGCCTCTGGCTCCAGGTTTCCTGGGTGGTTGTGTGGTAGCCCTTATCTGGCAACAGAGGAGGCCAAGCTGGGCTGCACTCAGCTCCGCTGCGGGGCCTTCTCTCTCCAGGCATTGGCCCTTGATCAGCCCCCACCCCACCGCGGGGCTGACTGGCTCCCCTCCCCTCTGCAGATGTGGATAGCTGTGAGAAGTGGCTGAACTGCAAGAGTGACTTCCTAGCCAAGTACCTGAGTCAGGTGCTGCAGGACCTGCCCAGCTGCCCATGCGCGTACCCGCTGGAGGCCGTGTACAGCGCGGTGAGCCTGCAGGATGAGCACCGGGGCCGAAGCTTCCAGTGGAGGGATGCCAGCGGGCCTCGAGAGCACCTGGACGTGTACCAGCCCACGGCGCGCTTCTGCCTGCGCTCGCTGCTGTCCGTGGAGAGCAGCACCCTGGCCGCCCAGCACTGCTGCTACGATGCGGGCAGCCGGCTGCTGACTCGGGGCAAGGGCGCCGGTGCGCCTGACCTCGTCAGCACTGACTTCTCGCCCGAGCTGCACTTCAAGGTGGACACGCTGCCCTGGATCCTCTGTAAGGGGGACTGGAGCCGCTACCACGCTGTGCGGCCTCCCAACAATGGCCGGGCCTGCGCCGACAACCCTCCCGAGGACGAGTACCTGGCCCAGTTGCAGGAGGCCAAGCAGTACTAACCAGGGGGCTGCTGTTCTGGAGAAGATTCCCCTGCACACCCCTCACCCTGCCTCTGCCCAGACCCCGTGAGGCCGGCCGGCCTGGTGCCGCGGGCCCTCTGCTTGTGAACCCAAGGCAGGTCAGCACCCCAGGTGTCGGTGTGGGGCTGCGGACAGGTCGAGGGGTGTACAGGGCCCAGGCTGAGGGAGGGAGCTCAGCCCCCAAGGTCTCTGGGTGATGGGGGAGGGGGGAAGTGTGTGTCTGTGGGGGCTGCCCTCTCCTGCCCCCTGGGAGGTGCTGTCCCAGCCCGGCCACTCATTTTCCTCCCTCTCCCTCTGAGCTGGGCTCTTCCACCCTGGCTGTGGGCACACGTCGTGATTCCCAGGGCCTGTGGTGCCACAGCTGCATTTTGTCAGGCTGGCAGCCAGCCTAGCAGCCAGCCCTCTTTATCTCTGATTGGTTGCGGGAGGCCCTCTTGCCCCACCCCTGCTGGGAGCCACCACAGACCCACACCGGGGCCCTAACAGGTTCTCCTCAACTCCGAGCTGCTTTTCAGTGGACACTACTTTGGTTAGGGCTGAAGTCAACCCGTGGGGCCCAGCGTGGACAGACAGGCTGAGGTGGCCGAGACAGGGCCGGCTCCTGGCTGGGAATGGGTCAACCAATTCAGGTCCCTTTCTTTGTCCAGCAATCTCTGCTCTGTCCAGGTTGTAGGGATGTGCAGAACTGGATGGCACTGCCCTGAATGGACACAGCTGTCAGGTCTGGGTGGGCTCAGAACAGCTCAGGAGGATGTGCACCATGGTGAGCTGGTACACCAGTTCTCGGCTCGGGGTTGGCAGCAGGGAAGCCCAGATTTGGGCAGTTTCTGTGGTGTTTGTAAAGGCTCCCGCCATGGCCCACTTGGTGCTCCCGAGGTGATGTCATTGAACGCACTGAGCTCAGAGCTGGGAAGAGATGCACATAATTGGCTCACCTAGCAAACCTGGTGCTTCTTCCCTGCCCTCCTCACTCCCAAAATCTTACTTCCTTGCCTTGTGTGGGGTTGAAGGGCTGAAGTCCCCACCATCCTGTTCACAAAAGCTCCAAAAGGTGGGAACTTCAGCCCCTAGACCGCCGCCCTGAAGCTCTTTGTGATCCTCAGCAATAAAGCACTTTATTTTCAAATTCTGTCTGATGAAGAATTTGGAGCCTCACCAGAGGTGTAGGGAGCCCTGTGTACAGCCCAAGCCAAGCCCCCATGGTCATGTTTGTGACTCCTTAACCTAGCCGGGCAGGCAGAGCTCCTGGGATACAGAGTTTAGATGTAGATGTGAGTTATCCCTACTCATACTTGTACAGGGTTTCCTAGGAGGTACGGACCTCAGAGCACATTTACTAGTTCTTGGGGAACAGGAAGACTTCCAAGGCAGAGGTCAATTAGCATGCACTCCAGAGGAAGTGGCCCTATTTCCCCAAGTACCTTGCTGCAAGTATGGGCAGAGTTGCCCAAAGGACTACCCCTATAAGATGACAGAAGTGGACCCGTACCCTGCCTTGATTGCTACCCTTAACAGACACTGCACTGTCACTACTGGCATCTGGGGAAGGACAGAGACACATCAGGAAGTAGGATGAGGCAAGGTATGTCCAGAGCCACCACCTGGAGACGCTCAGAGAACCAGATATTTCCATAACCATCACACCTAGAGGTAAGTTTATTAGTCTGGTCCTGGGCCACAGTCTAAAAATACTCTGGTGCAACTAAAATATTACAGGGCCAGAGAGGGCAGGATCTCATCACCAGATGGGATCCAAGTTCCCTCCCATTCTGTTGTCTGGGAAACTCAACATTAGTACAGGCATAATTTAATTATCTGTTAGCAGAAACTGTGCGTGTGTGTGTGTGTGTATTTATTTTGAGAGAGAGAACACTAGTGGAGAAGGGACAGAGAGAGGAAGAGAATCCCAAGCAGGCTCCACACTGCCAGCGCAGAGCCCCGACTTGGGGCTCAATCTCACAAATCGTGAGATTATGACCTGAGCTGAAATCAAGAGTCAGACACTTAACTGACTAAGCCATTCAGGTGCCCCGGCAGAAACTTTTTTTTTATAAGATAAAAATGTCCTAGAGTCCTTTTTCACAGGAATCTGCTAATTCGCCTCCTTTCTAATATAACTCACCTTAACACTTGAACACACTGTCTAAATTTAATCTATACCTAGTGGTTGTCTATTACCCAAAAACTGAGTTTAGCCAGCCACATTTTTGATCTGTAAGTGACATGGGAAATTGCTACCATCTCAGACCACAGATGACAGAAGATAAAGGCGGTTTGGAAAGGAGTCTTGAAGAGGTTGGAGAGCAGGTCAGCTATAAAATAGTGTTTATTCAAACTCTACAAAGGAGAAAGAGGCACTGTGCAGGTGACTTTGGGCTCAGGGAATAGGTGTGTGTGAGGAGAAACAGTGATGGAGAGGTCACTGATCCTGTTAAAGGGAGGATTTTAGGAGCGGCCAGGACCAGAATCAGGCGGGGGCCCTCCCCCGTTTGGGTCCAGTGTTAGTGAGGTAACTGTCTTGCCTAGCTGTTCTTACTTTTCCAAACACCAGCCCTCGTGGCTGCACACCCAGCACAAACACCACCACGATTTCTAGTTTAGCTGCCTGTCATCAGGATGGCTTGCCCAATTTGTCTCCATCTGGTGTACCTCATAAAGGGTCCTAGGCTAGGCAAGACTGGTCAGATCGAATTCTTACTAGGGTTTAAAGCAACATAGTACGTCCCTTCCAGATCCTGCTGACTTCCTTTGTTGGAAGATAGAATGTTTTCAGAGCCTTTGTCCTATTGTTCATGAGAAGGTCCCAAATGTGTTTCTTTGGCTCCTCCATTACAATTAGATTTTAACAGGTGGGGGTGCTTCTCAAAATGTGTCCTGACATCAGTATCACTTGGGGTATTTATGAAAATGTAAGTTCATGGGCCACACCCCACGCCAAGTAAGAATCTTTTAGGGGTGGAGTCCACATTTTCTGAATTTAACAGATTCCCCCAGATGATTCTTAGGTGAATCCTTGGCCTATGATTTGCAATTTAGCCAGCTAACTAGCTTTTCAAAATATTCTTGCTCAAGGGAGAACATTTGGGCCCTTGAGTCTGGAAGTCAGTAGGTACCATTACCTATGCTTCTATATTCGTCATCTCTAATGCTCTCATAAGGTACCTGTTATAACCATTATACAGGTGGGAAAATTTGCCCCATTTGTTAGAAGTGGTATGATTCAACCCAAGTCCAACCAAGTCCACAGTTTTGTATTTAGCTCGATCTGCGTTTTAGGCTCAAAAATGCTAGCAGCAAGGGGCACCTGGGTGGCTCAGTCGGGTAAGCATCCGACCCTTGATCTCAGCTCGGGTCTTGATCTCAGGGTTGTGAGTTCAAGCACCATATTTGGCACCACGCTGGGCATGGAGCCTACTTAAAATGCTAGCAGTAAAATGGCAGTGGTAAAAATGGGAACAGCTATCATTAGTACTGGGGATGTCAACTGTTACTGAGCAGGTCACAGGAGAGTTCATTTGCCTGGTGCTTTGGTTTTTTTAAGGTGTTTATAATCTCTACTTCAGATTTTTTTTTTAAATTTTTTTTTTTTTAACGTTTATTTTTGAGACAGAGAGAGACAGAGCATGAACGGGGGGGGGGATGGTCAGAGAGAGGGAGACACAGAATCTGAAACAGGCTCCAGGCTCTGAGCTGTCAGCACAGAGCCCGACGCGGGGCTCAAACTCACGGACTGCGAGATCATGACCTGAGCCCAAGTCGGACGCTTAACCGACCGAGCCACCCAGGCGCCCCCAGATTTCTTTTAAAGAACTCTAGAATTGGTTAACTCTCCAGCCAGGCATGAAAGGGCTCCTGTTTTGTCACTGGTCTCTGTGTGAGGAAGAGGAGGAGTCTGTTAGGAAGGGTCCCTAGATTTGATTCAAGCTACAGTCCAGGTTCTCTATCAAAAGACTTTTTTTTGGACCCCCAAGAGGCAGATCTAATGCCAAATTAGATGCTAATTAGTCCACCATTCCTATGAGTAATTCAAGCCAAAAGTGGCTCTTGGGGGTCTAAATTATCCAGATCAGTACTGGTCTTTTGCTTTAACTACAATGTTTTGGCCAAGTCACCTTGGTAGGATTAGCCTGCAGGCCTCACTGCCACCTAATAAAACAAGCAAAAATAGATGAAGGAAATAGCTGTGCCTGCAGGAGGTAGCATGTCTGGATTAGAAGGCCCTGACTCATACTGGGACACAGGGCACCAGGGCAGGGCTTGTGTGGGAAAGCAGCCCTCCCTGTTCAGGTAGTTACTTCTGCCACGTGGTGGCCTGAACTCCAGTTGAACATACCCCCGCCCTGTGGTCAGTGCTCAGTAAACTTGTTTAACGGAACCAGGTACTTAAAAAATACTTGACCAGGATATTCGTATCTTCCTCTTTCTGGGAGTACTAAGAGGCCTGGCATTTTTTTACTCCAGGAGGGATGCCTACCACACTAGAAATACAGCAGCCTCTTTAAGCAGATGAACCTAGCAACAGGGCAGTAGACATAGTGGTTTAGACTGGAGCACTGGCTCTGCAAGTTCCAGTCCTTCTCAACTCTTGCAAAGGATCAGCTGTAGGATCTGGGAGGTTACTGAAGAAAAGCAAGACTTAGATTTTTCTAAGACAGAAATGCAGGTAGTAGCTTTTTCATAAGGCTATTATGGGGGTTAAACGAGCTAATGCAAGGGGGCTACTTAGTCTCCAGTACATAGAACTGCTCAGTAAGCAGAAGCTCTGAACCTGAGGTCCACAGTCCCCCCTGCCACAGGGCAGGGGATCTTCCCATGTATCAAACCAGCACCTGGTGCTCGTCTCTTCTTGCAAAGAGGCCACACAGAGAGGCAAGCCTAGGGTGCAGTTTCTTGGCACCGTTTACTCCCGAGAACCCTGCCTTGTCTTCTCGCAGTGAGGGGAGCAGCTCTGTGCCAGTCTGCAGAAAGGAGACTAGCTCAGGAATGCGGTGAGGTGGTTTCTTTCCTACCTCCTAATTACCTGCCCTTACCCAGAATGGTTTTCCCTTTAATTCAGTGTCTTCAAGGGAACTCATTAATACCAGCCACCCAAGCAACACAGGTTTCCAGATATGCACGTTTTTTAAATTACGTTTATTTAGCGTATGTACACATAAAAGAGAAATCACCCTCTGATCCCACCCAGCAGAAAACATGCACAAACCCAAGATATACGTGGAGGGAAGGGGCCCCAGCCCCAAGTTAGTGGTTGGGATGGTGCAATCCTGTGAGTCCCAAGCCCCAGTCAGGAGAGGGCTGGACTGAAGCACTGGGCAGCCCCTTGCTGCCAGCCCTAAAATAAGCGTGCGCCGTAGCCAAAGGTCTGTTTGATGCCCTCAAAGTAGTACCGCTGCCAACCCTGCCTCGTCCTCTCTTCCTCGGGGGCAGGGATGCCTCTGCCTTCCATGCACAGCTCAGTCTCTCCATTCTTGTCTATGAAGGTCAAGGTGATGGTGGCAAAATGCCCTGGGGAGAGGCAGAGGGGAGGGGGGTTTAAGATCCAGGGTTTCCGTCAGGGTTGGAGACTAAGGGGGAAAGAAAGAGTTCTGGGGTAATGGCACTAAGCAACTATGCATACTTACCTTCTGGCCAAGATTTAAACCTCCACTTCATCACAATAAGTTTCTCAGGGACCTAAAATAACCAGAGAGATCAGTGTGTACCGTAGACTCCAATGCGCCAGATCCTGGCTGGGACCAGCTGTCTGTCTTTCGTTCGGCCTACGGTCTGTGCAATTCTACACCTCAGGGGCACAGAGTGGACCGTGGAGTTGGTAGCATCTGCACCAACACAGGCTACAGCCTCTCCTCTCACTCCCAAGTCCAGTCCGGTCAACTGTGCCCAGGTGACAGTTCAGCGCTACAAATGGAAAGTTACCAGCCGCCAATATACATGACCTCTCTTCCATGTTTGATTTCTTCAGGGAGAACTAATTTAACTCTGAGGAGAAAAATTCTAGGAAAGCAAGAGAATTCAACTGCAACATTCTTTTGAAAATACAAAAATGAGGTTTTACTAACCAGAGAGATTGAATTTTACCTACAGAGCTGAAAAAAGGAATGTTTTTCTTCTGACCTGAGACTATATCCTGGGTCTGGGGCTAGCAGGCACTCACCATATCAGTGAATTCCCCAGAGACGTTGCCATCTACCAGGTGAAACTTCCCACCTTTGTCTGCTTCTAACATTGCAGGAGCATGGGTAAAGGCCTGAACGAGCTGTGGGGGGGGGGGAAAAAAAGAGGTAGGGAAGATTGTCCCTCTCAGTGGGACCTAGGGACAAAAGCCAGGTGATACTTGCACACCTTAGCTCTCATTTCCAAAGGCACCACTCTGTCCAATGACTGGCTTCTGTTATGTCCCACTACAAAGGGACAGCCACTACTCAGGGCTTTGACTTGAGTAACTCTTTGTAAATCCATGATGCCAATACTTCAGATCCATTCACTTTTCCAACAAGAATGCTTCCAGTGGTGCCCACTTAAACCACCCCAAAACACTATACGGGAGGACAGAGAGCAAGTCCACTTTGAGGAGTAGAGTGAACACAGAAGGGTTTTTTCTTTGTCGCTACTTGTACGAGGAAATCCTCAAGGCACCACTTTTTAGTACCTGCTCTGCATGCAGAGGGTATGTGCCTACAACATCCCAAGTCACCTGAGTAGCAAATGCCCGGAGGCCTGACAGACAAGATTATACTTACCTCTTGGGTGGTAAAGACTCTATACAGCTCCTCTGGTGATGTCAGGAAGGTTTCTCTAAGGGTGATCTTACAAGTGGGGATTTTGACACCAACAGGTCTGGCCTGGGTTTTTGAAGGAGCAGACTTAGCCTGTGGAAGCGGCAGCGAGAAAGGTTTAGAGGGTGGGAAGCCTCCATTAACGTGGCTTCCAGGACAGGCCTGTCACTCATTCTCACAAACTTCTTCGCCTCCAGTGCTAATTGTTCCAGGAGGCTGGATGGACGTTTCAGTCATTAGGGGAACCTTCCCAGAATGTTCTCAGTTCCCACCGAAAACAACACTCCCAGTGGAGGACAGATCCTCACTGGAAACCCCACTGACCAAAGGACCTGGCAAACCACTGGGCATTTCTGAAGCACTCAGTGTAATTCTCCAGGAAAAATTCTGTGCTCAAAGAGCTGGAAGCAGCCACCTCCCCTCGGGAATCTCCTTAACTGTGCTGGCAGAAGGGCAGCAGGGCTGCAAACCAAGTGCTGAGCCTGAACTGTACAAGTTCTAGCTCCACAAAAACTAGCTGCTCACCCTGCAAATGTGGTGAAATTGATCAATTTCCTAATAGGTGAATGTCGTGATCTAAGCCCGGTACCTTCGTGACCCCTCTAGTGTCAAAGTACGAAATATCAACACCCCACTTAGAAAGAATACTGAAAACATAGATAGCTGAAGACCATCCTGTGTTCACAACCTAACCGGTGTTAAATGCAATCAAGAGAAACTCTGAAGCCCCTGCTGGCTTCCATTTGCTCTAGGGGTTTGTTATAAATGATTAAAAACCCAGTTAAAGAGGGACAAACAACTACACATTGTGGACCCTGTAAAAAGCACCATGGGCAGATCACAGGCTGCCGTGGCTTGGAGGTTAGGGTCAGAGAAAGAGCACATGGAAATACCACTTATTTACCTTGCGCTCCTCCGTTTTCAGTGCTGGCTGCCCGGCTGGGTCTACTGACTCTCCGTTCATTGTAGGCAAGATCATGCCCTGCGTGAACTCTGAAAAAATAAAATCCCCACTCCTGGAAGTTATTTCCTAGTAGCTGAGATTTGGGGCTTCTTTAGAGTTTGACAAACATGGACGTCTTACCCCCAAATGAAGTAATGACAAAGAAAGAAAGAGTCTACTTACTTTAGGTCTTTACCTTTGCACTATGCCAGACAGGTATCTGAGTGTATGCTACAGAACACAGAATGTTAACTAGGATGATTCTAAATCTCGCTCCATTAGAAGCAATACAACTTGTTAAATGTACATGAGGTCTCCTATGGATGGTAGCCAACGAATGTAGTGGCACTTTCAAGGAATTCAAGAGCAGGGCAAGATACCCACAGATGCATACTTAGTCCCCCTTCTCCACTCTGCCTTACCTCAGTAGAATAGCCACGCCTAGTGCACCAGAGCACTCGTTCTCACCAGAAGAGGTATCACCTCATATGCTGGTGCCCTTTGACAGTCATTTTATGTACTCCCAACACCAAGATCAGAACACACTGGCAGAACTGGAATTCTAGGGGAGAGCTGAGCTGACCGCTATCCTAATGACCCCCTAAGTGTCCCTGGAGAATGCATGTCAAAGATAGTCCAGGACTGTGCTCAAGCAGTCCAGGGATGCCAAGTCTTTAGATCGCACCGTTCAACAGAAATGTAATGACAGCCTCAAATATAATCTTAAGTTTTCTAGTAGCCACAGTAAAGTGTTAAAACAGAGAAGTGAAATTAGTTTTAGTAACACGTTTAACCCAATACATCCAAACTATCGTATCAATATAAAAAGCTATTAGTAATTTCACATTCCTTTTCTGGTACCAAGTTTTCAAAACCCACCGTGTTTTCTACTCATGGCACAGCTCGACTTGGGACTATCTGCGTTTCAAGTGCTCATCAGTCAACATATCAGATAATCCATCTCTATATCTTTCCCTTATTCAGAGTTTATAGATTGATTTTGAGGTGAAATAAGCCCCCTCCCCCACAAATCTTTTACCCATCTGGCAAAGAAAGGACTGTCAGGACCCTTAAGCAGAGTCTGATGGTCGGGGGTGGGAGGGAACTACCTCCTCAAGGCATACGTTAACTACTCAAGGGATACCTGTTTTGAGGGTGCTGATGTAAATTCCCATTGCTTCTCTTAGGAGTTTCACCCCTTCTTCCTTCATTAAGGCCACGAGATTTGTGTCAGGCTCATCTTTGGCAAGGCTCACACTAATCTGAGTGAAAGATCAGAAGTAGGTGGTAAATAACTTGAGGGGAACCCACGACATGGAATGTGGGTGCTGAGCAATCAGATAGCTGCTGACATTTCCAAAGGAAACGTGTGAGGGTTGGGGTATTTTTCCAATCCCCATGAGTGTTCCTTCTTGCATTCTGCCAAAGCCAAGGTAGCTAACATTAGAACCCAAGTTACTAGCTAACGCGGAGTAATTAAACAAGCACAAGCTGTGCTAGAAGCTCTCAATGGCACCACAGACCTAGGAAATCATCTACAAACTGAGGTTCTGAATGCTTGGGCCAGGCCTGGGCTTTAATCTTGAACGGGAAGTCATTTTTCTCATCTGAGAATAGAGAATGTGGAAGACTCAGATGAGGAATTAGGAAGCACAAACCTCTACTTCATCCACACTGTTTTCATCAGACAAATTGGGGATCTCCACATGTCCCTTGTACTGTACTCCAGACTTAGAGGTACCTGTCAAAAGCAATGCAACATCATTAGTCTCCCCCTTTGCAGGAAAAGGCTGCTCTAGAGTCCTAGCTACTCTTCTGCTTGCACTTTTTTTTTTTTTTGCTTGCACTTCTTTTGAACTACTGAACTGACCCTCTTTATTCTGAGATAAAGCCAGACGCAACCAACCCTCCCCGCTTCTCCCCTAGAAGAAATGTCTTTCCTCATTAGATCTGTTGAGGCCAACTGCCTCATATTACTGTATGGGACTAAGAGCTGTGTGGATGTGGCACTGGCAGGAATTCTGCCAGGGAGAACTTAGGTCAACAATCAATGCAGTCAGTTCTGCTAGAACGCTTGTTTTGAAAATACAAATTTATTCCGATGTGACTGACATCTTAGGGGTCAATCTGATCACAGCATGAATTTCACATTTGCTAACACAGGATTTCTTTCACGAGAAACACTAGGTGAACACACACCCACACAAAACCACACCCAGCTGAAATGAGCTGCACAGGAATACACAAAACACACACATCTCAAACATTTATCTGCCAGCAGCCTCAGTTCCCCATGTGCTATGAGCCACACCACCCACACTGGTGTTACAACTTCTGATTTCAGCTGACCCTCCTTCCACCAATCGACAATAACCCACATGCTGCAACCCTTCTGATGCCCACTTTCACAAGTGAACTTCAGGTCTTTTTCAAGGTAAAGCACCATGTTTACTGTATTATTTACGTACTTCTTCCCATATAACATGTGTGGACTGTGCTATCAATTTTTATGTTCCTAAATTTTAAAAATGTGTCACCAATGAAGGTTTTTGGGTGTTGTGTTGTGTCCCTAACCCTATCCTCCCCATAAGCCCTGTGGTTTTGGTTGAGCAATTTTGCACAGTATGGGGATTTTTAGGAACACACGGGTGACGTTACAGCAGAACTGACTGTATTTCAAAATGAACCAACAAGATGATTATTGATCTTCACTTCTCCTGACCTCAGTTTCTCAATCTATAAAAAAAGGACTGGGCAAGATGATACCCAAGGTTCCTTTCAGACTACTATAGTTTTTTTTAAAAAAAGTTACGAACAGATAGATCTACTCTTTTCCTATTTATTACCATTTACTTGAAAAATGCTCATCGAGGCACAAATCTAATGTATGCTTTGCCCCACACATGTATTCCTTTAGCTTTAGTGCCTTTTAAAATTGTCAGGACCATCCAGCTAGGGCACATACATGGCTCCAATTCTTTGCCAATACCACCACAGAAGGGACACAAAAACTGGAGGATAAAACCACCCCAAATTATAGTCACACAGAAACTTCGTTAGCAGGGTAGTCTAAACTGGTAGATTCACACTGGAGAAAGTAAAAAAAAAAAAAAAAAAAAAAAAAATCAAGACCAAAAAAACCCTCCCCTTCCCACCTTTAAGTCAATCATCCAAGAGACAAAAGTTAGCTAGTCTGAGGAAACGTTACCTGACATAAAATGTCCTAACATGTGGCCCAAAGATTCAGTGGCCCAGCTGCTTCACTGGTGGCGGCTTATGAGGCCCACAGAGAGGAAATGCATTTAGTGTCCCACATCAGCAGGGAAATTTTGGCACCCAATACTGATTTCTATAAAAGTAAAGAGCCCTGTGTCCCCTGAAGAGTTCCTAACCTTCCCAAAACTGTTCTCCCGGCTCCTTAATAGGTCAACCAAAATGCAGTTAGCCTTTGTTCTAATGGCCCAGCACAGACTTACCTGTCCAGTTTAGTTTGATGCTCCATTCATAAAAGAAGATAAGTTTGCCTTTGCGATTGTTAATGGATGCCTCTCCATCAAGCTTATTCACTTCTGTCACCTCACACTTGCCTTCCTCATTTTGCACCCGCACTGCCAGGAACAGCGTTTTCAGCTTATCCGTGGACCAGTTTGAAGCATCCCTCTCTGTCCTGCAAAACAGAAATAAAACTATGGACTAGCAGCCAAATGGAAGACACACTGCTTGCTCTGTGCGAGAGAATCCAAGGCTAAAAGAGACCTGACAAATACTCTGAAAAGACCAGTCCCACTCCCGTACATCCACAAACATCTTATCCTCTTTTAAGACGATAAGGAGTCCCATACTGTCAAGAAAGATAACTGCTGTGTGGAATGGTTACAAATCAAATGGAAAATTATACTTTCCTTTCTCAGCATGATGGTGCTAAAGTCAGTATTTGACACTTGAACATGGCGCCCCCGTTTGACCAAATGGAAAACTGTGACCATCTTGCTGAGGTCAGGAGCCTAAGAGTGGGCCCTAGAATGCAGTATTTAGCTAACAAGTCCAGTAAGTAAGAAAGCAATAATCTTGACCTCATTAGCACAGTGTTCTGACCTGTCAAATTCAGGCTGTGCTATAAATTCCCTACACATTCTGTGTCCTCTAAACGTCTAGGAAAACAATGTTAAATCCAGGGCTTCAAACCAAATTAGATCAAAGCACTATGTATGTTAAAAGGAGAGGAGATAGGTTGAAATATAGAGAAGAAAAATCACTATCTGCCTCCCAACATACTAACTAGCAGAGAACCCAGCAGCAAAAAGGGCTGCAACAAAGTAAAAATGAAAGCAACGGGAACAAAGTTCAGTGGAGTTAAAAGATAAAGAAATAGTACTTTTAGGACATTTCATAAATGAGAGTAAGCTTCTAAAAGTGGTTAAGTTATAAAACCGTGATTGCCCGGCAACCGGGGTAGTCCTGGGAGTTACAACACAACCAAATGAATAGTTCCGGGTGAGAGGCCATGGCATCTTCAGCATCACTGTGCTCTTGAGCACCCACCGAACACGTTCCAAACCTTTGTCCTCTGGACTGAGGCAGTGGTTCTCTACGACTGACTCTGAATCTCACCCGTAAGCCGCAAAATAAGAATTCCAGCCCACTAGCCCCGAGCCTAACACAGCGATCTCCCAACACAATCCACGCCGATTTGGGTCTCACGGACTCCTCCGGCCACGTGTGGGAAGCATGTCCTTGCTCAGGCTGGATGCATCGGCCACAGGGGTTATGTTCTCGTATCTCTGAAACCCCTCCTCTGGGCGCAGCCCTCCACGTCGCCCTCTTGCCCTCTAAACACTGAAACAGAGGCAGGTGGAGGTGTGTGGAGAGACCTGGGACTACGGACCCCTGCCACAGGAAGAACCCACCCCCATCTCCGGGCAGTGCTGTATCGGCTCTAGTTTTGTTCCGCCCGAGGTTCCAGGGACCCGCACCCCTGGCCGGGCCGTAGCGTTCCCGCGGCCTGGCCCGCTGGCCCTCACCAGTGCCAGTTGTTGACGTTGGTGGCGTCCGCCCGCTCCTCCACGATCCAGCGTGGGTCGCCCTCACCCCACTTGGCCATCAGCTTTCCTGTCGCGCCGCCACCAGCTTCCGAGCAGCCACAGCCACAGCCTCAGGACTGCCTGGTCCCAGCCGCCCGGCAGCGCCTGGAAACTACTAGAAGCGGCCGCAGAACCTCCTGGCTTGCTTTTCCCTCCACCCCCCGCCCCTCCCCGCCTTAACTTCCGGCTCCTCCTCGCTTCCACCGGGTACTTCCGTTCCACCTCCTCGGACTTTAGTTTATGTGTGTTCTAGAGTTCCTTCAAGCTCCGTTGGGCTATCCCTAAATGGGCCGGAAAAGCAACCGCTCACACGACCATTTATCACCGTTAAGGCCACAAAGAACACGTCTCATTGTTTCCCTAGTCTCTGCATTGGCCCTGCCGAGCCTCATGGGAATTGTAGTCTTGTTTAGTAACCCGCTGGATAACCGCGGAAGGTCGCGCTAAAAGTAAAGGAAACTACTTAGGCACGGAACCCCAGAAGTTCTGGGAGTTGTAGTCAAGAAGCCCTGTGGCACCTCCGGACAGCGCTTAAAGGCAAAGGCGGGAAAACTACAACTTCCAGCATGCTCTGCGGCCTCTTTCTTGACCCACGTTCCCCCCTGCCGCCCCACCCAGCGACTGTTCGCTTCCGCCCATTTTCTATGCAGCTTAGCCTGACTAGAAAGGGTGGTCCAGCGGCGGAAGAGTCTGACGCTGCCCTGAAAGGGTGGGCTCGGTGTGGAAGAGGTGAGGGTGTCCCAATCCGTTTGGGCCGCGTATCTGGTTGAGTCCGACCTCGCCGCAGACATATCCTTTTCCTCTTACTCTCTGAGGTGTCCCTAGACCCCCCCGCCAGGCCCGACTCCTCCAGTCGGAGCGACCGAGTACGCTACGAGCCCGAGTACACTCGAGGTTGGGGCTGTGAGTGAGCCTCGACATTTGATTTTGAAAGAGCATTTACTCTGCCAGCGATCCGCCGGACTCTGGCGACTGCAGTAGGTCCATGGCTTCCTGGACTTTTCGCCTGTAGAGTCTTCCTAGGTTAACCCACATTCCCCGGTCTCCGTTAATAGCCTCACATGTGGAAGCCTGGCTCAGAAGATAATTGAATCTGAGTGTAACTTCTCGGTAGCTGGTTTCTGAAGTGTCCTGAGGCTGGGAGCGTGTTGGTTGTGGATTTTTTTTTTTTTTCCTGATGCCTGTTGTCCTTCCTTTGTCCTGTACCTCGGATTTGCTTCCCTGTCTTGTGGGCTCTCAGTACAGGTGACGATAGGGACAAGCCTCTGCTGTATTTGAAATCATGTTGAAGCACTTTTTCCAGTCACTCTTAAAATTGTACCTGGTTGCTGCAACTTGTAGAGCCATTAAATCTTTATCATTATCTCTTTACTTGGCAAGTAAATTTACGTTCTGATTTGGCTAGAAGTACAAATTGGTGGCAAGTATCTCCTGCGGTTGCATGGTTAAAAACGATTCCAGAAATTCTCTGGTGGATTATCGGGTGTGTTAGACACATTCTATGCTTATCTGTAGATATTTCCAGATATTTATTTACTGCCCTTGTTTTCCCTAGAGTAAAACAGAAGGACCATACATGTCAGAGTGGAAGTGATTCAGGAGCTAGAAAACCTAGATTATAGGAGCAATTAGCAAAGTGGTTTTGGTACCTGATTCTTTTGTGCCTCATCTTCCTCATCAGTGAAATAGAGATGGAATCTGCCAGACCTACCTTACAGAGCTGTTGTGAGGATGAGAGTGCTCTATTAAGTTGGCAATCTGTGCCAGGGACATTTACATACTCTATGTACGTCTTCAGTGTTGGTGATAGCCACTCTCAGCATTTTTGTGTCAGATTAATTTTTTTAATCTTTAGGATTGCTTGAAAGTATTTTCTGTCTAGCTTTTTCTAAGCTGCCATGATGCTTTACTAATAAAAATTAACACTGAGCATTAATTTTGTATCAGACACTAGGTGCTCCACATGTATGATCTAGTTTAAGCTTCACAACAATTTTATAAGGTAAGGGGTCTATTGTTATGCCCATTTTACAGATGAGGAAACTAAGATGGAAAGGTGTCAGTAAAATATCCTACACTAAAAAGAACTGATCTTTAGTATTTACTTTCTGCTAGGTGTTCCCTGAGTCCTATTTCTTCTTCACTGCAATCTTGTGAGGTAGGATATCATTTTCTCCAAGGCTTAGAAGTAAAATTATTTACCCAGTTTCCTCAGAATTGGGAGACCAAGATTTGAATTCAAAGCTGCCTACTATAAAGTCTGTGCTTGTACCACCATGAAGGATGATTTCATTGTATCTGTCGACTTTTTTATTTGGCTTTAAATATACAAAAGGATTTTTAAGTTACATCTGGGTTCAGTAGAAATTGATTAGTGATGTCTGCCATGGGAAGGGATCAGACATTAGAAAATTCCCACCATACCTTTGCAATCCCTATATCCTCTGAAAACACAAGAGTCAGGAAGTGAGAGTACACATGATTTCCTGGCTTATAGTGGTTTGACTTACGATTTTTCAGCTTTATGATGGTGCAAAAGTGATGCACATCCAGGAGAAGCCGTAGGGTGAGTTTTGAATATGGATCTTTTCCCGGGCTGGCAATATACAGCATTGCACTGTTGTGATGCTTGGCAGTGACAGTGAGCTACGGCACCCAGTCAGCCACATCACAAGAGTGAACAACTGGTACATTTAAACTATTCTGCACCCACACAGCCATTCTGTTTTTTCACTTTCAGTACAGTAGTCAATAAATTACATGAGATATTCAACACTTTATTATAAAATAGGCCTTGCGTTAAATGATCTTGCCCGACTGCAGGCTAATATAAGTGTTCTAAGCACATTGAAGGTAGGCTAGGCTAAGCCATGATGTTCAGTGTTTTCCACTCACGATATTTTCTTATGCTTGGTTTATCAGGATGTTAACCTCATTGTAAGTTAAGGAATATCTGTAGAGTATGTTAAGGGCCATCAGAAGCTTCAACAGGGCTGCCGTGATGAGTGTATGTCAAGCTTCTGTTGTGAAAGGTACCGTTGAGAGAAAAGGAAAAGCAAATGAATTCTTTAGAATTTAACCCTGTGTAGCCTTTGGAGTTCTTTTTGTTGCTTTGGGAGTTTTGGTTACTCCGTCCTAGTGTTTTTTGTTTTTTAATATTTATTTATTTTGAGAGAGCATGTGTGAGCAGTCTGGAAGTGCAGAGAGGAGAGAGAGAATCCTAATCTGGCTCCTTGCTGTTAGTGCTGAGCCCGACATGGGATTCAATCCCAGAAACTGTGAGATCCTGACCCAGGCTGAAATCAAGAGTCAGACCCTTAACTGACTTAGCCACCCAGGCACCCCACTGTTTCTTAGTTTAAATCAGTTTTCACTCTGTCCAGTTGGCATTGATAATTTTTTTCAGAGTGAAATCTAATTTTAGAATAGTGATGGGAGGGACTTGTGGTATTTTGACTGATTCTTTATATATATATATATTTTCTTTTCTTGGCCATGCTCTCAGTTCCCAGAATTCGGCCAATACTTATTCGTAAATTAATCATAATTTGAAGATACAGGCAGGATAATTCTACTTCATTTAATCTTTGCTTTCTTTCTTCTGACATTTAGCAAGCATGTATGAGAACAAGAGCCATTTTTATTCACTGTGGTATTCTCAGAGCCTGGAATAGTGCCTCAAAGATGGCACTCAGTATTAGATAAATGTTGAATACATGAATGCAATTTTTATCTGTTTTGTTGATGCTTTTTCTTCAATTTAATTTTTTAAATATTTATTTTTGAGAGAGGGGGGAGGGTGTGAGCAGGGGAGGAGCAGAGAGAGAGGGAGACAGAGAATCCAAGCAGGCTCCTCACTGTCAGTGCAGAGCCTGATGTGAGGCTTGAATTCATGAACTGTGAGATCATGACCTGAGCCGAAGTTGGATGGTTAACCAACTGAGCCACCCAGGTGCCCTGGTTTTGTTGATACTTTGATCTTGTGTATTCAGCAAAATTTGGGATGCATTCTTATAACACTTGCCTGTCTTGTGCTGTTACCTTTATACATATCTATGCTGAATACCCCAGCTTTCTTGCTTCAGAAGAGGGGCTGTGTCTTGTACTTTTTTTTTTAATGTTTATTTTTGAGAGAGAGACAGAGACAGAGAGAGACAGAGTGTGAGTGGGAGGGGGGCAGAGAGAGAGGGAGACACAGAATCCGAAGCAGGCTCCAGGCTCTGAGCTGTCAGCACAGAGCCCAACGTGGGGCTTGAACTCGCGTACCACGAGATCATGACCTGAGCTGAAGTTGGCCGCTTAACCTACTGAGCCACCCAGGTGCCCCTGTCTTGCATTTTTTACATATCCCTCACAGCTCCTGAGAGAGTGCCTTGAACAAAGTAGGTAGTCTAGGAATGAAGAGTACTCGTGGGTAATTAGAGGATCAAAAGTATGATTTGATCAGTTGGAGACGCAAGGATCTGATTTTATGTGGCAGATTCAATATTTGCTCTATCTAATTCTTTGAAATGTCCCCAAATTACTGGGGTGGGGGGTGGGAGGGAGAGTTTGTAGTGAAGGAAATTAAAGTTTTTGGAGCTCTGTGGGAAGTGATCCAGGAAACGACATGTATCTGTCTTACTCTTACTCCAGATGAATCGGACAAAAGGTGATGAGGAGGAGTATTGGAATAGCTCCAAGTTCAAGGCTTTCACCTTTGATGATGAAGATGATGAACTGTCACAGGTGGGTTTTCTTGAGCAATTGCTGCAGGTCACACCTCCTCCACAGTGCCACTCTAAAATTCCTTCCCCTTGTGTCCTTGGTAAGCTAGCTTTTGACTGTGTCTCCATTAGGCTCAGAAGTGTTTGGGGTCAGACCTTTAGAAAAATCCTCATAGAAAAGAGGTTTCAAAACAGAGCCAGAAAGATTGTAAAAATCAACTCTCCACCCTTCTTACTTTTGTTCTTAAGGTAACTTATTCCTTTCAGTTTTTTTTTTCCCTCAGAACCCCAAGTCTTTTATCATATGATGTAATTGTTATTTTTGAACAATGAATTGGATTGGAAGTTGTCTTTATTGCATCTATTTTACAAATGGGGAAACATTTATTTTGGAGAGATGGACAGACTCACTCAGGTTTACACAGTAAGTCATTGCCAGGAATATGATTAGCACTTTTTTTTTTTAAGAGGTTTTTTTTTTTTTTTTAATGTTTTACTTATTTTTGAGGGGAGCGGGAGCAGACAAAGAGGCAGATAGATCTGAAGCAGGCTTCACATTGACAGCAGCGAGCCCAATGCAGGGCTCGAACCCATGAACCGTGAGATCGTGACCTGACTGAAGTCGGATGCTCAACCAACTGAGCCACCCAGGCGCCTCAAGAGTTGTTTGTTTGTTTGTTTGTTTGTTTTTTAAGTTTATTTATTTATTTTGAGAGAGAGAGGTTGAGAGAGCATACGCATGCACTCTAGGGCAAGGCAGAAAGAAGGAGAGAGAGAATCCCAAGCAAACTCCACATTGTCAGTGCAAAGCCTGATATGGGGCTGGATCCCATGAACTGTGAGATCATGACCTGTGCTGAAATCAAGAGTCAGAACTGACTGAGCCGCCCAGGTGCCCCTATTATTAGAACCTAAAAGCAGCTTTGATTCCTTTTAACTCTTGCCACTGGACTGCAGTGTTGGCTAAAGAACAATTTGTTTTCTTGGCAAGTATCTGGCAGGCTAGATTGCAAAGGGTGAAAGTGTTTGCCATCTTTAAGTGTCAATTGCTCAGCCACCTTGATTGTCAAAGAGATAGGTGGGAAATACTGCTTACCTGAGTGCCCTGCCTTATGTCCCTCCGCAGTTAAAGGAATCCAAGAGAGCAGTAAATAGTCTTCGAGACTTCGTGGATGATGATGATGACGATGACCTGGAGAGAGTCAGCTGGAGTGGGGAGCCAGTGGGAAGTAAGTAGAAGAGGCTATAGGAGGGGATTGATATTCAGGGTTCTTGTCACTAATGAGGGCTCCATTTGCTTGTCTTCTCAGTGTTTTGTCAGGAAGGGGAATGAGGGTAGACTATTTTCAGATGAGCATACATTTGGAAATTTAACCTCAGAAGATACTTGAGGAAATAACAGTAGTTCCCATGTGGCTGTCTAGTCTGCTGTCTTAGGGTTAATGCTTGGCTGGGTATTTCGGACTCACTTGGGGTGCTTGTTAAAATTAAATTCCTAGGCTTCACTCCAGAGACTTTGATTCAGTATGTCTCGGGGGTGAGGGTCTTAATTTATGATAGGTACTGTAAGTGCTTCCAATATGCAGTCATATTTGGGACTATTGGCTTAATTGCTCCTAACTGGCTGGTAGGACTGACTTCCTTAGCCACCAAGTCTCATCGTCTAGCTGTTATATAATACCACTTAACGCTTTTGCAGAGTCCATCTGATTTTTGAGAATGTTAAAATTTTTTTAATGTAGGAATATCATCACACTTTAAAAATATAGTATTTTAGGCAATCAATGAAAAGTTTCCCTCCAACACTATCGTGCATTTACTGTTCTCAGTCCCTGCTATCCCAAAACACTGCTGTGGTTTGCTTCCTGTGTGTTCAACTAAAGATTCTTTTTACGTTTGGAAATGCATATAGGAATATGTATATTCTTATCCCCTCTTTTACACCAGTGGTAGCATGCTTTATACCCTGCTCTTTTCAATTGACAATATAGTTTGGAGATCTTTCCATATCAGTACGTAAAAAAGTTTCTCATTCTCTATTTTTTAAAATTATTTTATTTTATTTTTCAGAGAGAGAGAAGCAGAGCACAAGCAGGGGAGGGGCAGAGAGAGAGGGAGACGAATCTGAAACAGGCTCCAGGCTGTCAGTACAGAGCCCGATGTGGAGCTCGAACTCATGAGCTGTGAGATCATGACCTGAGCTGAAGTCGGACACTTAACCGACTGAGCCACCCAGGCGCCCCACTCTCATTCTCTCTCTTAAAACAACAGCATCGATTATGTTGTATGGGTTTACCATAATTTGTTTAAACAGTCCACTTTTGATGAACTTTAGATTGTTCCCAATCTTTTGTTTATACTGCTATCAATAACCTTGTTTTCTGCCCATATATGAGTATATGAAAGATCAGTTCTTGAGTGGAATCACTGGCAGAGGGTATTTGCATCTGTATGGGTTAGATATTGCCAAATTCTTCTCCACAGGGACTGTACCAGTGTGCCCCCATCAGCGATGTTTGAGTGTTCCTGTTTCCCCACAGCTTTGCCAACACAGGGTATTATTGAACTCTAGATCTTTGCCAGTTTTACAGGAGCCAATGGTATCTCAGTGCACTTTTACTTTGTGTAATTCTTTTATTAAAAGTAAGGTTGAGCATCTTTTCGTATGTTTAATAGCCACTTGAATTTCCTTTTCTGTGATCCATTTGTTAATTTCCTTTGCTCCTTTTTCTGTTGATGAGTCGATTTGAATTTATTTTTTCTCTCTACTTCAATTTTTTAAGTCCATGTCAATAACAGACCGGGGCCTCTGGTGAAAAACTTTTAGTATTTATCAGAATGCTATATATCAAGGATTATTGTATATGAGAATCACTGATTTAGTTCTATCTCACAGGTATCTCATGGTCCATCAAAGAGACTGCTGGTAACAGTGGGTCAAACCAGGAGGGGCGTGAACAGCTCAAGAGCCGAAACAGCTTCTCCTCCTATGCACAATTACCCAAACCTACTTCTACCTACTCCCTGAGCAGCTTTTTTAGAGGTAAAGAGATTGTTAAAGGGGTAGGGGGGCCCTCCTTTTCTCTTTCCAAAAAAAAAAAAAAAAAAAAAAGCACTCAGTTTATAATTTTCATTTACTCTGGAAGAAAAAGATTATTGAAGGATAAAGAATTATCTTTGGAACTGGCAGTTAGGGATTAGAAGTCAGAGAAGAGAGACATTCAGAGGGATTTGGCAGGAACATGATGAACAAAACTGACATTAGTTCTGTGGCAGGTGCTGAAGAAATTTACCCAGGTCAGGATTCCTGCCTACCCCTGTGCATTGCTGTAGGGAACCCTTGTTTACTACTGGTGGGGATATAAAATGGCGTAGCCACTGCGGAAGACAGTATGGCAGTTGCTTAAAAAAGTAAGCCAGACATACAAGGACAAATATTGTATGATTCCATTTCTATAAGATACCTACAATATTTAGATTCATAAAGACAGTAAAATAGTGGTGACCGGGACTGGAGGTTAGGAGAAATGGGGAGTTATTGTTTAATGGGTACAGAATCTTAGTTTGGGATGATGAGAAAGTCCTAGAGATGGATAGTGGTGATGGTTGTACAGTGTGAATGTACTCAGTGCCACCAAACTGTACATTTAAGAATGGTAAAAAACGTTTATGTCATGTATATTTTACCACAAGTAAAAAAATTTTTTTTCCCTGACTTTGTTTTTCATGGCACCTCAAATTTCTGAAGTTGAATGGAGGTTTGTTTTAAGCCTTGAGTTCCCACATTGCATAAAAAAGGTTCTATACATACTGCATCCTTAACCAAGTGAAATGCTTCTGACTGGAACTATTGACCTCTCCCCTTACATGTTCTTTACTTCCAGGGAGAACTAGACCTGGAAGTTTCCAGTCTCTTTCGGATGGTAAGCATTGACCCTCTGCTCTGGAGTACTATGGGAGAAGTTACTGATATGTGGTACACTCTGCAGGGTCATGGAGATAGGTGGTAATTAGATGAAATGTTTTCTGAGTCTACCACCATTATTAGAGAAATTTTCTGATTTTGAGTAAGGAGGTCAAGATCATTCTGGCTATAGGGGCAAGGGGTGACTTCTAGGGGCGCTGTTTCTGGGGAGGAGCTGAGATCTACTTTGGGCCATAAAGATGCCTTGGGACCTCACGAGTCAACAAAATGCATGTGAGAAGGAAGCAGTAGAGGACAGGAGTGACATGAAGATGGTGTCTTTCTGAATCAGCTGCCTATTTTTTCCAGCTCTGTCGGACACACCTGCCAAAAGCTATGCTCCAGAGCTGGGCAGACCTAAGGGGGAGTACAGGGTGAGTTATATCTTGCACTGGTGTGACACTTCACACAGTGCAGAGCGCTTTGACATACGTTATCTTGCTTGATCTTCCTAACTTTTTGACCAGCTAATACCTTAACTTTTATGTAGAGAAGAAAACTGGATTTCTAAATATCAGGGCTTGCCTTGAGTCTCACAGCTATTAAATGGTGGAACTGGGACTCCGTTTATTTTCTGATTCTGTCCTAGCGCACTTCCCTTACCCATTATACTGCCTTTTGAAGGCTGTATTTTGAAACTTTTGATCATCGCTGTGGTCTGGAAGCTTTGTGGAGCTCATATTCCCAAGAAGCACATAACAAAGTAAATTGATTCATAAGGAAGGAAGTATATCATAAGATCCAGAAGAGAAACATGTCTCCTTCTTTTCCTTCTGTCTGCATAACCGTCAGTTAGAATCCCAAAATGTGACTAATTGTATCTAGGGGGTGACATCCTGAACCAGTAGGCATAGGGTTATGGTTTTGTCAGTTGGTTCTTTCCCTTTTTGATCCATCTCTTCTTGCCTGTATTGTCCCTGTTGTAATTTCTTCAGACACTCAGAACAAGACCATTCTTGTTCTTCATTTTTTTTCATCCATTCCCTCCCACAAAATATTTCCCCATTAGGGAATAAAGATAAGAGTTTTAAGTGAGGAGCTGGCACACTGATAATGCTGATCCCTTAACCTCTTGAGATTCGTGTGTTGCTGATATTCTAGGATTATAGCAATGACTGGAGCCCCAGTGACACAGTGCGACGCCTTCGGAAGGGCAAGGTAAGGCCACTGGAGAGAGAATTCTTGTGGGAAAAGAGCACCATGGCTGGGAGAAAACATTTTCAAAATACATATGTTATAAAGGATTTTTTTTATCAAGAATATATAAAGAACAATGATTATCTTCAATAAGAAGATAAACAACTCAGTAAAAAACTTGGTGCAAGATGTAACCAGTTACGTCAAAAAAAGATACGTGAATAGCCAAAGAGCACTTGAAAAGTTCTTTCACATTAACAGTTATCAAGAAAATGTGAATTAAAACTGTGAAATACTACTGTATAGCCACTAGAATGGCTAAACTTAAAAGTATTGATCATACCAAGCATTGGGACGCTGTGGAGGAGCCAGAACTCTGGTACACTGAGAGCAAGAAGGGAAAATGTTAAAACTACTCTGGAAAATAGTCTGGCACCTTCTTATGAAGTTAAACATACACTTAACTTCATTGCTAGATATTTACAATCCAAGAGGAATGAAAACTTATGTTCAAAGACTTATACACAAATTTTTGTAACAGCTTCATTTATAATAGCCCCCAAAGTGGAAATAACCCAAATATCCTTCAGGAGATAAATGGATAAATGGTGATATGTCCATACAATGGCAAACTGTTTACCAGTAAGTAGGAATAAATTAGTGGTACTCACCACAATGTATTGATTCATCTCAGAAATGTGATCTTGAAGGGCACCTGGCTGGCTCAGTCAGTAGAGTATGTGTCTCTAGATCTCAGGGTCATGAGTTCAAGTCATGTGGGTGTGGAGCCTACTAAAAACAAAACAAACAAACAAAAAAAGTGAAATTGAGTAAAAGAAGCCAAATGTGAAAGAGTACATATTGTATGGTTCTGTTTCTGAAATCCTAGAAAAGGGAAAACTTTGGTGATTAAAAACAGGTGAATGGTTGCGAGGGGCTAGAGATTGGGTGCGGGGGAGTTGACATCAAAGCTGACAAGGGAACTTTTTGGGGTGATGGAGTTGTTCTGTATCTTGATTATGGTAGTATATGAACTTGTCAAACTCACTGAATATTACAGTTGAATAGGGTAGACTTTATTGTATGTAAATTATACCTCCTTAAAAAGAGAACAGGTGATCTCTCTACCCATTGACTTTGGCAGGACTTTATCAGGACATCAGGACTTTCTTGCACGCTAATTCTGTTCTTATTTTGCCAGGCCTGCTCACTAGAAAGATTCCGCTCCTTACAGGACAAGCTACAACTCCTAGAGGAAGCAGTAAGCATGCATGATGGAAATGTCATTACTGCAGTAAGTTGTGGGTTTTGTTTGTTGTTTGTTTAATTGTTGTTTTCAGTAGTTTCTCAGAGTCCATTCAGAATAGGACTTTAACATTTTAGGTTAAATGTCTAGAAAAGATCCTAGATTTCTCTTATTTATTTGTTTATTTTAAGAGAGAGAAAGGGAGAGCAAGAGCATGGAAGGGGCAGAGAGGGGGAGAGACACAATCCCGAGCAGGCTTTGTGCTGTGGGCACAAAGCTTGATGCGGCACTTGAACTCACAAACCATGAACTAAAACCAAGAGTCAGATGCTTAACTGAGCCACCCAAGCGCCCCCTCGATTCCTCTTAAAGTGTAGGATTCTCAGTAATACATGCTCTGAGGCTCGGCTGGCAGGACTTGCATTGTATGTGGAACTCTTGATTATAATCAGGAAATAGCAGGTTGGCTTCTAAAAAGTAATCTGAGAGAGAAGACGTATGAGAGCAGTCTCTCAGAGGGGGTGTCTCTTGCCAGTGTGGGAATGGGCAGGTGGACTTCTCTTAGACATCTGCCAAGATGCCTAATGTGTCGCTGACATCATTTCTAGACATCAGGAGCTCAGGGCAGGGCTTTGCGTTTGAAAGGTTACACAGAGTAATTTATTCTTTGTTCTCCTTTCCTCTAGGTTCTGATCTTCCTGAAGAGGACACTGAGCAAAGGTGAGCATGGGTTGAGAGAAATCTTCAGTCGACAAGATACCTGCTACATTTGAAGGGAGAATGTCATTGTGGCTTTTATCAGAATTCACCATCATCAGGTCTGTTTCTGAGACAGCTGGGATGGCCTAAGACTTCAGAGTATCCATCTCATCTCTTGAGGGCAGTTTTTCATCCTGTAGGGTGATAAGTCTGTTAACTTCAAAGTGTCCCTATTCGCTAGACAGACAGATGGCTGTGTTGATTTGAGGACTTCAGAGTCCATGCTAGGTGCCTGCTGGTTGAGTTGGTGAAGGCTGACTGAATGGCTAAGAGTTGCCCTGGACCATGGAGTGCATTGGTGGTGGATTGAGCCAGAGGAATGGGTACCATAAAAAACTGTTCCTTGCTTGTGATTGGCTCTGAGATGTTTGGAATGTATGAGGAGGGAGACCAATTTCACACCTGAGTAATAGGCTTTAATTTCCCCACCTAACTATTTCCTGCCTGCCAGAGATCCTCTTCCGAGAGCTGGAGGTGCGACAGGTTGCTTTGAGACATCTCATTCACTTCCTTAAAGAAATAGGGGATCAAAAGTTGCTTTTAGACCTCTTCAGGTAAGAACTGATCATCTTGTCTATGAAGTTTACTGAGTCTTTATTCAAAGCACGCTGGAGAATACAAAGACAAAAGACATTGTCCTCTTTTTGTTATTAGATAAGATACTGAAACGGTGATGGGATAACTAATAATGCACCTCAGCCTATGATAAAGTGACAGTATAGCAGGTGGTTAAGAAGGAGGCCCTGGAGTCAAACATACCTACATTGAATACTGGCAACACCACTTAGTTCATAGAGTGACCTTGAGCAAGTTGCCCAACCTTTCCAAGCATTAGTTCCAAACCTGTACAATGGAAATGATGATTTGTACCCGGCAGGTCATTATGAAGATTAAAAGAGTTAGTGTGGGAAAAGCACTTAGCTTAATACATAGTCTGTATTAATATTTTTAAGCATTTTGTTATAAAAGACTCAGAATAAAGGTATCTTTTATTGCTTGGTCCCCAATGATGCCAGTGGGAAGTACGGTGGAAGAGCAAAAGAAGAAAATAACAATCTTTAGTCAGGATACCCAGGAAAGCCGCATGGAGGTGTTTAGGAATTGAGACTAAGTAGGATTCTAATAGGTAGAGAGGCAAGAGGTAGGCATATGTGCTGGTGGTCAGGGGCAGGAGAATATCTTCTACCATGTTTTCCTTCCTTCCCTATCTCATTCTAATCAGTAGAGACTTTCCTGCCCTTAGCTTAAAATGTATATTATGTCTTGTCTTCAATGTCAGGAAAGGGGTTAGAACCTTTGTTTAGGCTGATAATGTGGCCCATGGTAACTCCAATTATCTAGTGACTCCAGCACAGTGATGAGCTGCCCCAAGACTATGGTGGGAAAAGCAGATCACCTAGTCAGGGCCAAGATTACAGATGTTAGCCAGGAATTTGCAGAAGACATGTTCATTGAGGCAGGCTGTTCTCTCCCTCCTTCCCTCCCTCCTTCTCTCCCTCCCTTCCTTCCTTCCTTCCTTCCTTCCTTCCTTCCTTCCTTCCTTCCTTCCTTCCTTCCTTCCTTCCTTCCTTCCTTCCTTCCTTCCTTCCTTCCTTCCTTCTTCCTTCCATGCACCCTCCCTCCCTCCCTCCCTCCCTCCCTCCCGATCAACGAGGCTTTATTAGGCATCACCTCTAGGCCAAAGCAGTGACGTTAGTTACAGTGGTTCATTCAGAATAAGAAAGAATTAGAAGACAATGTCCTTGTTCTCCAAGGTCTTACCACCTTTGGGATAGACAAAACCCATTCTACACTACGTGAAAACAACAGAATAATATAGAAAATCTGTTTCCAAGATTGTTCTGACAGAGAAGAGGGCTTTAATCTTTCCAAAAAACCCTGTAAGATTACTGTGGGCTAAGGTTTTGTGGAGGCTCTGAGCCTATCAGACCTGTTAACATTACAAAGTTATTACTGTCCTGCAATGCCTTCTTGTCCTTGCTTCTTTCTCAGCTAGAGCGATCAGGGGAACAATCATACCTGATCCACCATGTGTTTTGAAGAGGTTGCTCATAGAAATTTTAAGAGGAGGGCTTATTTCATTTATGGAGGCAAATGAGTTTGAATAGCAGCCATCCTATTTTGTGAGGTTATACTGCCACACATCAATAGATAAAAATGCCCTGCTCCCTTCTGCTTCTTCCCAGGTTCCTAGATAGAACAGAAGAGCTTGCGGTAAGTGTGGCCTTTGTTTCAGTTGGGGACCTGTTTAACAGAAATCTAAGGCAAAACCCAGCCTCCAAGATCCCAGAAATCTAAGCCAAAACCCAGCCTCCGAGATCCCAGACTAGTTAACAGTTTCCTTCCTTTGGTATTGATTGCATCCGGACGAGAAAGGCACTGGGAAGCCTGAAAACCAAATCCAAATGATGTTCTGTTTCTTTTTATATGCTCTTTTGATTGGGCGTGTCAATAAATACTTTTTTGAATAAATGAATAAAAAACTGGCCTGGTCAATTTGTAATTTGTTTTTTAGTTCTTAGTTGTTTTCAGTTCCTGGTTTGTAGGAGCTTTTGGGTTTTGGCTTCTAATACTAGAAAATGTTGGAGAGTTAAGAGGGATTAGAAAGCAGATATAGGTCAAGAAGGAAGATAGGTCAAGCCGGGCTGCACCCAATACACATTTTGGCTGAGGGCTGAATGGCCAAGTGTGTAAACTGATTTTTGGCAGATTTTCACCATTACAGAATAAACTCCTGAAATACCAGAATAAATCTGAAATTGTACCAAAAATTTCATTATTTTATTAAAAATGTAGAGATACACTTTTAAAAGTTTGCCATTGTAGTGCAGGGGTAAGAATTCCTCAGCATATCCATGGCAGGATTGTCCCTTCAGTCACTACACCACACGTTTGTGGTGTTATCAGTGCTCACATTCAGCTGGCACGCTTAATAATCTTGCTAACCTTCTTCACACCGCAGAATAAAATTGAGGAAAATGTTTTTTCAGTCACATTTTGTAAAAGGAACTTTTACTTAATATTCAAGGCATGGAACAATCACAAAAATCCTTTATCTTAATCTACTGAAAGTGATTGGCAGTCTGTAGCAATCATTTTGAAAAGCTTTTTGTTTACATTTTTAATCTCCATAGATTTGTTGTGGTTTTTTTTTTAATGTTCATTTTTTTTTTTTTTGAGAGAGAGAGAGAGAGAGTGTGAGCAGGGGAGGGGCAGAGAGAGGGAGATACAGAATCTGAAGCAGGCTCCAGGCTCTGAGTGTCAGCACAGAGCCCAACATGGGGCTCGAACTCATGAGCCATGAAATCATGAGGTGAGCCAAAGTCGTATGCTTAACCGACTGCGCCACTGAAGCGCCCCTAATCTCCATAGATTGGAAGCTGTAAGGAATTTTCTTCATACAGCATTCTTATAAAGTTTGTTGTTTTGAAGTTTGATTAGTGAAAATAGATGTGTTTGGGTAACGCATTTTCTTCTAAAACTTTATTTTCTTCCTATTCTCTATTATATTTGAATTGAAGATTCAGATTTACATGCATGCGGTTGTATATAAATTTGGAGTTTTCCAACCTTACGAACTTGAGAATTGACAAAGCTGATGATAGTCTCCTTTCAGTTTCTCCTCACAGAGTGGGAAGTTTACCTAAGTAGGACTTTCCTGAAAGACTTAAGGCCAAATGGAATTGAACAATAAAAATAAACCATAGCTCTCAAAGATTGCTTTCTTTAATACTAGGAATGATTCTATACCAAACATTTTATGAAGATTAGATTATGATATAATTTCTATTCTATTTTATGTTATCATTTACATTTTTATATACTTGTTCCTAAAAGGATATACTGTCCTTCTTAAAGCCAGTTCATTCTCTTAATATTCATATTAACTGTCAATCTGTTTATTTATTTATGAAAGATTGTATTTTTAAGTAATCTCTACACCCAACGTAGGGCTTGAACTCACAACCCCAAGATCAAGAGTTGCATGCGCTACCAACTGAGCCAGACAGGTGCCCCTAATCTATTTTTTTTTTTTTATTTTTGGAAAGTTTTTAATAATTGTGCATAAAATCTCAACTTTTATAACCATCATAAATTATTGCATCAATTAGCTCTTGTAATAATAAATAGGGACTAACTTTTTAATTATTTTTAATTTTTAATGTTTACTTTAGAGAGAGCACAAATGTGCTCACGTGCAAGTGGGGGAGGGACAGAGACAGAGGGAGACAGAGGATCCAAAGTGGGCTCTGTGCTGACAGCAGAGAGCCCCAGAACCTGACGCTGGGCTTAAACTCAGGAAATGTGAGATCATGACCTGAGCTGAAGTTGGACACTTAACCGACTGAGCCACCCAGGCGTCCCAAATAGGGATTTAATCTTCAGTTCCTTTTTCAGAATTCCAAAATAGAAAGCACATAAGGAGATTGTCTTTCAGAGTTATATGTATGACTTATGGTATTTGAATGTGAGTCTTCACGTGTCAACAGTGAATCAGATGACTTGCCTTACTTGTGTTACTGATGTCAATTATTAGGTGTTTACAGGATAATGCTACCATTGATTGAATATAAGGTCAAGGATGCCAAAAATAATGTTGAAGTAAGCATTTAGCTCTTTGGCCTTTTGAAAGACTAAGGCTGAAGCAAAAGCTGGTTTTAGTTAAATAGGCTAAAGCCAAACTTTGGAGTAAAGCTGGGTGCTCAGCTACTCAGTGCTTCATTGTAGGCCAGCGCTGTCCAAATAGAGCTTCCTACGATGATGGCAGCATTCTGTATCTGTGCTACTGGATATGGTAGCCACTAGTCCACATGTAGCTTTTGTACACTTAAAAAAATGACTACTGTAACTAAGGATCTGAATTGTTTAATTTAACTTAAATCATTTAAATGTAAATGTAAACCAGATATGGGTAGTGGTTACTGTATTAGATATTGCAGTTATAAATAAACCAAAGAGTGATTTTGAAGATTTTTTTTTTTGAAGTTATCTGTATAACCCTGAGATCAAGAGTCGCATACACTGGGGTGCCTGGGTGGCTCAGTCAGTTAAGTGTCCGACTTCAGCTCAGGTCACGGTCTCGTGGTTCGTGGGTTCAGGCCCCACGTTGGGTTCTGTGCTAATAGCTCAGAGCCTGGAGCCTGCTTGGGATTCTGTGTCTCCCCCTCTCTCTGTTCCTCCCCCGCTCATACACTCACTCTCTCTCTCTCTCTCAAAAATAAATGAACATTAAAAAAAAAAACCAAAGTCACATGCACTACTTACTGAGCCAGCCAGGTGCCCCTGAAGAGCAATTTTGAATCACTGTTTATCCTCTCCACACCCACACACCCATCCACACCCAGAGGAATCTCTGATAATGAAGAATTTAGTTTTTAAGGATGGAAGATCTAGTTACATAGCTAACTCAGCCTTCTAAGGAGACAAAATAACTCAAAGCCTGCCTTTTTTTTTTTTTTTTTTTTTTTTTTTTTTAATTGTAGTTGTCTCATTATCAAGAGCACTTGAACATTCAGGACCCCGAGAAACGAAAAGAATTTCTTAAGACCTGCATTGGGTAAGTATGGGGGAGAAATGTTTTTAAGCATAAATCTTAGAGAAGCGAAGAGACTAAGGAGTGGATAGGTAGTTGAAGGGAAAGCCTAATAGTGGGTCATATAAGCATCATTAAAGATGGTCTCATTCAGTGAAGTGATTCCAAAATTAATTGCCCAGTAGAGTTTTCACTGATGGGTAGTAAATTGAGAAAAATAAAGGCAATAAAAAGAGGATTTTTTCTATCGCTAAATTTATTTTATTTGAAGACTGCCTTTTATTCTGGAATTTTTTTTTTCCTTCCTCTCCTTCCTTTTTTTGGTGACAAAATGCATTGGAATTTTTTTAAATGACCTCATATATTAAAAAGTCGGCAACACTTTACCTTCCATATTATTTTCAGTGTTACTGGTCCTTGAGACCCCAAAGCACAAGAACCACTGATTCAGCCTAGGTATTTATCCAGGATGTAAGTCCCTGTAAAAACCAGTCCCACATATTATTCTTCCAGTGATGAGCACTCACTGCTCTTGGAAGTAGCTTATTTTATTGTTGAATAACCTTCATTATCGTAAAATGCTTTGTTATCTTGGGCTGAAACTTGCTTCCCTCTATCTTTCAAGACAGGTATAGGGTCTTCCCGGTAGGCCTTACTCCAGGTTCAGTGTTCATGGTTGCTTTAGTCCCTAATGGGACGTGAGTGCCCAGTTTCACATTTAGAAATTTGTCTTTGTCTGTGCAATCCTTAATGTGAACATTATCAAATACTGAGCTATGTCATAGTGGCCTCTGGTGAACCAAGAGAAAAGTTGGAATAGTGAAGGAACTGAAACCTATTGCTGTCTCTCTTTATCTCTTGCAAAAATTGGCTGTGGCTCATGCTTCTCTGGGATAGTGTAATTGAGTTTCAGAATTCTTCCAGGAGTGAGTGGAGTATGGGACTAAGACAGCACTTTCTAAAGGAGAGATCTGTGAACCGGAAGCTTAAAATCTGGCTTCTATTCCTGGCCTTACCTCTTGACTTACCATGTATGACTTTTAGGCAAGACGCTGTTTGTCTCTTAACATTTTCACATGTAAGATGAAAGGTGGGGACCCTTGATCAAGTTTGTGTAGATCTGTGAGATCTTTTATCAATCTATAAACGTACCACCATGCCTTGTAATTTAATTGTACCTTATTTCTCTGCAGTAAGAAACCACAGCACTTCACTGGGTTGTGGGTGATAGGCAGTTGGCTAAGCTCACTCACTCAGTATCTCATTTGTCACCAGCTCCCACAGTGAGAGGATTCTAACTAATTCCTCAGCCAAACTACTGATGACTACATACATCTTGTGGACTTTGAGGATCCTTCCTTCCTTTTTTTTTTTTTTTTTTAAAGATTTTATTTTTCTTCAAGTAATCTCTCCACCCAACATGGAGCTTGAACTCATAACCCTGAGATTAATAAGAGTCTCACGCTCTACCAACTGAGCCAGCCAGGTACTGATCAGGATCCCTCCTGAAGTGGCAAAACCTTAAATACAAAATCCTAGTCAAAGGTCTATTCTGTTTTCTGCTTTCTCTCTCTCTGCCTTTCAGGGATGGTCTAAAGGTGCATTGGGATCAGATTTGTGAAGCGCTGTGAGCCTCTTGTGCTTAGAGTGGTGTTTTGGTTTAGTTGGGTTTGTTTCTTGTTTTAGTAGAAAAAGAGGCGCTAACCTTCTGGCTCTCTACCAGTTTGCCATTTTCAGCAGAAGATTCTGCACATATTCAAGACCATTACACCCTCCTGGAACGTCAGATCATTATTGAGGTTAGACTCCTTATCTCTACATTTTCTGCTTCAATGCCGGTGCTCAGTGTCATTCAGCATCTAGGAGACTTCTGTGCTCTGTCATATATGTCATTTCCTGTTACACTCTGCGAGAGCCTTTCATTTCCTCTTTACGTGATCGCCCTTTTCCCTCCATTGTTCTCAGGCATCCTTTTCCTTCTCACTTGCTCTTAACCTGGAAGTATTTTCTCTTCCTCCTAGAACTCCCATTTCATCCTTACTTCTCCAGTCTTCCTCCATTCAACATGGCTCTGTCATCATTTTATGGTTTTTAAACTCCCTTGGGATATCCTGGGCAGTTTCTTTTTCTCATCTTTGCCTCTTTCCTAGGATAGGAAACAAAACTGCTGTAGTATTTAATGTTTTTTTCCTACCTCTACTCTGTGGACATTGTTGTTTTTTTTTTTTCACTTGTTTCACTCCACCACAGGCAAATGATCGGCATCTAGAATCAGCAGGACAGACTGAGATCTTCCGGAAGCACCCCCGCAAAGCTTCTATCCTCAACATGCCATTAGTGACCACGCTTTTCTACTCCTGCTTCTATCATTACACGGAGGCTGAGGTATAGGCAAAATGTGAAAGAAAGACCGCATACACTCGCACTGCACAAGAGGAATATACTTTGAAGCCAGTTATTTCCTTGTGTTCTTAACAATGGGTGTGTATAGTTTTTGGAAGTCCACCTGGAAGCTTTCCTGGCCCTCAGAAAGGATAAGGAACAATGGATAAGGAACTTCATGTTATTTGACTTTCTATGCTCAGAAGGGGTGGGCCAAGTGGGAAAAAGAGGTTTGTAAGGGCTTGTGTGGCTTCCGGTGAGCTGGCATGCTAGCATAGCACATTCTGTCTCACCAGTGCTGGTCCCACAGCAGTCCCTGTTCAAAGGTCCATAATTTCAAATGGATTTGCATGGTACAGAGAAGAGCAGCAGGGTGTTAAGTATTTGTGAGTACTCTAAAAAATTTTGTTTTTTGAAGAGATTTGAGTTTAATGGTAGTAGGTGGGAATGATCATAATAGTCACAAGATTAACATTAAAATTGGGAAATATATGTATTAATCCAGTTTCAGTCAGCCAAGTTGTGATATCCTATTAGACCTGGTGGAGTTTTTCTCTTAAATTATTTTCTGTGTTTAAATGGCTACAGAGTGAAATGTAGTAAAAAGAAAATGTTAGATTAGGTGGTATTTGAGAAAGTCAATAACACTAAAATTCCTTCCCTACTTTCATCCTAGGGGACGTTCAGCAGTCCAGTCAACCTGAAGAAGACATTTAAGGTAGATATAAATTGGTCACTGTTGGGTAAGATAGTATCAAGATAACTATGTGGAGTGGATATTGCTTTGTAACCCTGCACAAGAAGTCCCTTAATATTCACAGTTAAAGGTGGAAAGGACTGAGTTTGTGGAAGTGAAGAAAGACTGCAACCGAATGGCTTACGGTGGTGCTGGGGCTTGGGAGTGAGGAGGTTCTTGATGACTTGAGAGATTTGTGCATTTTAAGGGGCAGAATCAACCCCAGGGGATATTTTTGCCTGTCTTTTCTAGAATTCTCCCTGGTGCATTTCTACTTACCCTTAATTCCTCTGGTCTCTGTTTTTTAGATCCCAGATAAACAGTATGTGCTGACGGCCCTGGCTGCTCGTGCCAAGCTTCGGGCCTGGCATGATGTAGATGCCCTCTTTACCACAAAGGTGGGTGCCCTGGAATTGTGTAGTGCTGCTGGGGCCTCGGAGTTACCGTCTTGTGACCTCATGCCTCATGGGAATCTCGAGTTCTAGTTACTGGTTTACATTTTTCCTCCAACCTTTTATTTGTCAAACTGAAGGAAAAATTGAAAGAATAGTATGATAAACACAAATAGTCTTTACTTATTTCACTAGTTTATTAACATTTTGCCATATCTACTTTCTCTTTTTTTGCTGAACCATTTAAAAGTGAATTGCAGACATCGTGACACTTTTCCCTTGAATACTTAAGCATTTATTTCATTTATAACCACAATATTATCAATTTCAGGGTATTTAATGTTAATATATTTTTAAAATTTATTTATTTTGAGAGAGGGGGAGGCAAAACGCAAGTGGGGGAGGGTCATAGAAAGAGAGGGAGAGAGAGAATTCCAAGCAGGCTCTGACAGGGGGCTTGATCACATGAACTGTGAGATCATGACCTGAGCTGAACTCAAGAGTTGTATGCTTAACTGACTGAGCCACCCAGGCCCTTAACATTAATATAATATCATATGTATAGTCTATATTCAAATTGACTCTTTAAAACTTTATGTTTTTGTGTTTGCTGTCAGGATCCAATCAAGGATCTTACATTACTTTGGTTGTCTCTATTTGTTTATATTTTAAATATCCTTTTTTCTACTATAGGTTTGAGAATTTTCTGTTTCTTCCCTTTATTAGGTGGTTCTTACTTGTTTTTTTGTTTTTAAGATTTTATTTTTAAGTAATCTTCACACCCAGCCTGGGGCTCAGACTCACAACCCCTGAGATCAAGAGTAGCATGCTTCACCAACTGAGCCAGCCAGCCTCCCCGCTGTATATATGCGTACACACACACACACACACACACACACACACACACACACACACACGTATTATATGAGAGCATATAAACCTCCCATCCATCCACACTCCCTACCGTGTTATTCTAGTCTGACCATAAAATGAATGGTTACAAAGTGTGTTGAGTCTTTCTTGTCTAGCTACTGCTGCCTCATCTTCCCTTTTCAGAACTGGCTGGGCTACACCAAGAAGAGAGCGCCCATTGGCTTCCATCGAGTTGTAGAAATTTTGCACAAGAATAGTGCCCCTGTCCAGGTAATGGCCTTCTAAAGAGAGTTGGGATCCTCTAGGAGACCTAACTTTTAGCCTCTTACTGGTCAATGATGGGAGACTTGATCTGCTCTGGTCTTATCTTAAAGCCAATATAGTAGCTGCAGTGGATCTTGATATAGAAAAGGTCAGGTAGGGAAGTTGTCCTCTGCCCTTTAGAAGGAATCCCAGACTGCCCCCCTCTGAGGAGCATCTACTGTGTTTAGTCCGTGTGGAGCACTGACATATTACTCAAATGATACAAAAGGAGAGCTCAGTGACAAAGGACATCAAGTAGCACTGAGCACAGCACCGGATCAGATCTAGAACACACCTGTTGCTGGCATGGATGTCTAATTATAGGGTAAGGCAGAGTGTGCTCTTCCTGTCTCTCCTGGGCCAGCATGGAAGTACCGCATAGAGTCTACCTCACTCCCTATTGCAGAACTAGTCTTATGGTTGATGGTGGGAATTGTAGACATCAGATATGGAACTCATGCCTTCCTCAGGATTTTTTTTTGTGTAGCTTTTAGAACTCTTTGTTTTATGAGTCTGGGAGTCATTAATCAGAAGTACCTCTTCCTATAGATATTACAAGAGTATGTTAATCTGGTGGAAGATGCGGACACAAAGTTGAACTTAGCCACCAAATTCAAGTGCCATGATGTCGTCATTGATGTGAGTCCCTAAGAAAGGAGAAGCCTGAGTTAGACCCTCAGTGGAGAGTGGGGGATTATGATCTTCTCTGTCTAGATCCTATGGTACTTCTTTCAATTTTGGCTTTAACAGACAAGATGATCTGGCAAGAGTTAGTTTGGAGACCTGTTCTCCTGTATTATTTTCCCAGCCCTTTGACCTCTTTTTTTATAAATTTGTTGCATTCAGAGAATTCATAGAACTGAATCCAGCCACATGAGCTCTTCAGTAAGAAATTCTGTAGGTGCCTGACCCCACTGTCCTCCCACTGTAGCCTCTCAGTCTCTCCTTGAACCTTGGCCCAGTGTTGGGAGTGGCAGGAAGAAAAAGGCCCTTGTAGAGAAGGCTCATTGGAAGTTTTATTGCTGTGTGTTGGTACAGACTTGCCGGGACCTGAAGGATCGTCAGCAGTTGCTAGCATACAGGAGCAAAGTGGATAAAGGATCTGCAGAGGAGGAGAAGATTGATGCCATTCTGAATAGCTCGGTAAGCAGCTACAGTTTACCTCCTGCAAGCAGTCTCAGGAGATGATCCCCAAAGTATCATCAAGTATATATTCCTAAGGCCAAGATGGGGTCACAGTTAGCTGAGCATCATAGATATAAGAATCTGTGAGCCTAAGGGTCTGAAGCGCTGCTTTGAAAGGCAGAAATTACTCCTGAGATGTGGGATGATCCAGGGGTAATCTGGGGACCTTGGGCAGAGATTTCACATAGTACCTTGATAATCGTTAAACACATCAGGTAGGAGGTACATGCCCAGGGACAATGGGAATGACTGCTGCAGACGCAGAATATCCAGATGGTAGTTTTCTGGGGCCAGGTATGATCTACTGGTTGGAAGTAAGTGGCTTTTAGCTATTTGGGCAACACAACTGACTCATCTCTCATAGCATGAAATTACTGAGCTTTTTGTTAACATAGAGCTTAGCTCCCTGTTAGATATTTGGGAGCCTACCATGGAGTCATCTAAAGCTAGTGAATCTTGGTCCTGAGGAGGGCAGAGCCAGAATAAATGCCCTAAATCAGGCTTGTAAGATACAGAATGGGTATTTAATTCATCTCTGAATAAGCAAACTCCCCTACATATTAGAAAAACATTTTTCAACTTCCCCCTCCATTCTCCTTATTCTTACTTTACCTAGCTGTGAGCCTTGTTTTATTGTATTCCCCTGCCTGTCTGTAGGGGTCAGTGGAAACTGATCATTGTTTGTTCTTTTCCACAGCAAATTCGATGGAAGAATTAAGTGGCATTAGCTACCCTGAAACCTGCCTCATTTCTTCCTTTCCTGCCTATAGTAGAGAGTGCTCTTTGTTGGGAGAATTACAGTATCACATCGCTTTGGACCCATCATCAACAGGCAATGTCTGCTACTCTTAGGACAGAAACCAGCGTCTGGGCACAGACAGCTTCAGACTGATCTTCTGTCCAAGAATCATCATCTAAGGGCCAAGATCTAAAGCTCTGACTCATGAGAAAGATTCTCTCCACCTGGTGCTCAAGTGAAGGTGGGAATAATTTCTAGATTGGGCCCATATTGGGCAAGATCTCTCTTGGTCTGGGAAAATGACTGCTCTAGAAAAGAAGTCTCCTAGACTAAGAGGTCAGGGATCATAGGATGGCCACTCCATCCCTCTCAGCTAATTATGACCCTGGATTTGGTGCTGGACATTGGCAGTTCTGCTCTGAATGAAGTCAGAATAGAACCAAAATGGCTCTCTCTCAAGGGACCTCAGGAAGGGGTGCCAGTATAGCCAGGAGCTGTTGGAGGTGCCCTCACACCAGACTGCACAGAGTCCTCCACATAATGACAGAGAGTGCCCAGACGTCGTGTTTCTTCAGCCAGTGTCCTTCTGCTGCCCCAGTCTAGCCTCTGTTCGAGACTTGTGGTTCCTCTTTCACCTGCACACCAAGATGGCCTTGTGTGGGAGATAAGGACATCCCTGTTATCTACTTCTGTTTCCTCTACTTCTCCCACCCCAGACCCGTAACTTTATATGGAGCTAAGATTCAGCAGTGCTGGAGAGCTCTTCCTTTATGCACAAATCTCATTATTTCACTAGGAGCTTTCAGAAGGTCCACCAGGGCTAAACTCAGCAGCATTTCAGACGGTTAGGATATTAATTAAGATGGAGGTTTTAGTTTCACGCTTGGTTTTCAAGAGGGTATTCTGGAGTGCTAGCCTCCTGCTCTGTACCAATAGAAGCCTCTCTTCTCTATAACTGAATTGGGTTTCCCCGACATGCCTAGACTCCTAATAAAGCTATTTCTTCCTTGGTGCCTTCTCTTTTCCCTCCCAATTGTTTTGTGCAGAACAATGAAATAATTGCCTTGTCTCTTGGGACCACTACAAACCTGCCTCAGTGACCGCATTCAGTAGTCTGTCAACACACGTCAGGTCATGGAGTAATAGTGCTTATGGCAAAGTACAGCCGTGTGGTTAACAGAGCACTGTACCTGGAAACAAAAGACCTGGCCTCTTGTCCCAGCTCTGCTGCTGACAAGCTGTGTGATGTTGGGTGAATCCCTTTCTCTCTGGACTCACTATCTTAACCTGTCATAGGGGGGCATGTTTCTCTTGGAACTTGTAGAAGTCTATGCTCCTGTGACTGTGCGGAGCAGGTGAAGGGGTAGAAAGAAGAGATGTTGTATAGAGGCACAGAGCATGCTTAAATGCATGTGGTTCTCAACTGGGAGAATTTGGGCCCCAGGAGACTGTCCAAATCTGGAGAAGCTTTGTTGCTACAACTGGTGAATGCTACTGGCATCAAGTGGGTAGAAGCAAGGGATGCTGCTAAATATCCTACCATGTAGGACAGCCCCCGCCAACAAAGAATTATCCTGCCCAGAATGTCAGTAATGCAAATGCTGACAAACCCTGCTTTTGGGGGATTAGACTCTATCTCTTGCTCCTCCACTTTGAGATCCCCTTTGCAATTCCAGGTAACCTCATAGTTCCTTCCCTAACCATCTGTCTTGCTGTTCAAGAAACAGGATTTGCTAAATTGTGCTCAAGTTATTTGCCGATAACAAACCGCATTAACCTTATTAACTAGTATATCAGGGTTCATTTAGAGAAGCAGAATGTCTAGGAGCATATAGTCTGTCTATATGTGGGATTCATTACAGGGATCTGACTTTACTCAAGTATGGCCATTGGTTAAACAGGCTCTAGAAGGTTGTCTTCGTATCTGGTGGTAGAGGTGGATGTCCATAGGGCAGGCATTGGGGAAGGGAAGATGAATAAAATGTGAGGGAAAGCAAGGACAACATGGAGGCCATGAGGCTGGACAGGAACCTGTGTCAGCTGTCACCGCCTCCAATGTTGAGGATGTGGGTGTCCTGCAGGCAAAACTAGCTGGTGGTCTTTGTCACGAAACTGAACACAAACCTGGCCCAGGAGTGTGAGAAGCTGTAAGAGGATCCAGGGGAAAGTGTAGTGATCATGGGTCCAGCTGCTGCTCCGCATCAACACAGTCGCCAGCAAAGTACCTGCCCAGGCCTTGTAAGCAAGCAACACAAGCTGGCTGCTGCTTCAGCCTTCCAGATCCTGTGCAAAAGTCTTGTGGCACACCCTAACTGGAAACATTGAGGGAAGGGAATTCTGGGAAATGTAGTTCAGCTTCGCCAAACTTGACATGTTACCAAGCCACAACCACTGGATCCACATTTTTGAGGATGTATTAGTGAAGGATGGGCCTAGGATCCACGCCTGTACAGGTTAACCAGTGCTGAGTGGGGAGGTTTTGAACTTGTCTTTCCTTTGGAACAATAAATATCACTTGCAACATTAGGATGACCTACTCGCTGTTTTGATCAAAGGAAGTATTTCTCAGACTTGACGAGAATTTCCATACTCTTCACTTCAAGTGCTGAGATTGTGAGTGACATAGGAGCCCTTCTATGCAAAGGATTAGAGAAGCCAGCCACGAGAGGTCACATATTGTATGGCTCTAGTCACATGAAATAGCGAAAAAAGGTAAATCCACAGAGACAAAAAGATTTGCGGTGCCAGGGGCTGAGGAGGGTGGCGAGCAAGTGGGGGGTAACTGCTTAATGGGTACAGGGTTTCCTTTCACTGGGAGGATAAAAATATTTTAGAACTAGAGGTTCCAGAGCATGTACAACACTGCAAATGTACTGAATTGTTCACTTCCAAATGGCTGTGTTATGTGAGTTTTACCTCAATTTCTTTTAATTTAAAAAGTAGATTTGAGGGGTGCCTGGCTGGCTCAGTCCATGCAGCATGAGACTTTTGATCATGAGTTCGAGTCCCACGTTGGGTATAGAGATTACTTTTTAAAAAGTGGATTAGAGAATTGAATAGTTTTGATTTCTGGTCTCAATTTTGCCATTGCTATAAAATAGAGTTCTGAATATCACTGATTGTTTTCCCACCATTACTGAAGTATAATTGACAAATAAAAATTGTATATGTTCAAGGTATACAGCATGATGATTTGCTATATATATTGTGAAATGATTACCAGAGTCCAATTAATTAACACATCTGTCATCTCATATAGTTCCCTTTTGTGTGTGTGGTGAGAACATTTAAGATCTATTCTTAGCAAATTTCAAGTATATGATCTAGTATAATTAACTATAGTCACTATGGGGTACATTATATCCCAAGAATTTACTTGTCTTATTCTTCAGTAGCTTGAATACAAAAAGAAGAGGTATGAAAAATAACACCTTGAGTAGTGCTGGGATCTGTATGATATTCCAGTCTGGGAAAAATCTAGATGTCCAGAACCTTCTGTTAGGAAAGGGAGAATCCCATACTGCCCTGGTGTAGTGCTCCTAGGAGTAGCAAAAAGAATTCCTGTCCTCATGAGGCAAGTCCAGAAAACCTCTGGGTGGGGCTGGCCCCTTTAAGGCTCAGAGACTGAAGTAATCTGGTAGCTAAGGAGTCATAATGACAACTTTCTTGGGTAATTCTCCCTAGAAATGTAGTTCTTACTCTCCACGACCAGAAGTACCTAGGAGTAAAGCCACCTTCTCCTCATTTTGGTTGGTGAGAGAGATATGTAAATGGGCTTACATATCTCTGGCTTCATTTTCTAAAACTCTAGATGTCCTTGGCCTAGAAAAGAGACCATGTTAAATTTGGGCCCTTTCCTATCCTGTGGGGAACACAGAGTTGAGTGAAAGGGAAGAATTCCTTTGAAGTGGTGTGTACATGTTCAGTCCTATTTCTAAAATCTTGGAGGGAATAGAAGGGACAAGGCCCTGGCCCACAACCACCTGTGAAACCCACTGCTAAAGTAAATGCATCTGCTGAAAAACGTGGCTGTAGCCTATGTAGATGACCATCACTTTGGATTTTTGTTCAGGTTTTTCATGAATCCAGATATTCCTGATCCGCGAGCAGTCAGAGCTTAGGAATCCTCCAGGACTCACGCTGCAAGTACAGAATCTGAGAGGAGAGAGGTGCTGAAGCCCACCATCACAAGAGCTTGTGACTGGGGCACACACCTTCCTGCGTAGACTCCCTTGTCTTCTAAGAGAGGGAGCCAAACTGATTGGTATCTATCACTGCAGGAGATGGTGGCTTGGAAATGGACTTGCTTGAGGACCTTGAATCCCTGCAGTTTGAGTATGGGATTCAAGAGGAAGACTGCAGCTGGCTGTATTTGCAGGGCCGTTCTCGAGGGCTGGTGATCAAGGCCTGTGCCCATGCAACTTTCTTCTGCAAGCTACTCTGTAATTTGAGGTAAGCTAGGTCTCCAAGGTCAGGCAGATGGAGAAGAATCCCACTGCAGAGAATCCAAACGACTTAAACTTTTTATATTGGAGGATAGACTTGGCAGGGGGAGTGTCTTCCTACCTTTTCCAACCCACAGTCAATCACTCCTGGTCTGAAAGCACCAGGAAATGCATACCAGAATCCCTTGGCTGTGGTTACATAACAAAGCATGGCTTGTGATTACCTTTTGGTGGGTAGATTGGTTAAATGATCATCAGTTCATTCATTCATCCATTCATCCCTCATTGGGACCACCAACTTGGCTTCTACAGCTACCACATCTAGCTATTCTCTGGCTATTGGCCGAAAATTTGGGGGCTAAGCTAATAGTGGAATTCTCCCTAACAGGAAAACCACCTGAAACTTTGGGGGTCCTTTTGGCCAGGTTACTTACATGAATACAGTATTCCAGGAATACTCTCAATCTAGTCCTGACCTCTCGTGTCTTTGTACAACGCGGCTTCAGACACTTAAACAAGAAGTGTATGAGAGCAAGGTACTTAAGACAAGACTCCTGGATTCTATAACTCTAGGTTACTCCTTAACATTGGTAGCTCCCCTGCCACCAGACTACTTTCTCGGAAATTAGATCAACTCCTAGATGGTGGGACCAGATCTAAATTGAGCATGTTACAGATACAGCAGAAACTCAAAGAGGTAGTCTGCTTAATGAGTTTGCTGATTGGTTGACTGATAAGAATACATAAACCTTTTGGTTGCATCCCAGATGAGTGGTGAGAAATCAAAATATGAAACTTCCGGAGGCATTTTCTATTTGGGAGGATTGGACACAGAGGAAATGCTTTCCTTTCAACTTAGAAAACCTAAATAGAATGTGGCTTATGATGTATATATGGAAACTCCAGAGCTTAAGACCAATTTTTACAGAAATATAGAACAAATATAAGATAGTATAACAACAGAAAACAATGCCTTATATATTCAGAGGTTAGACTTTGTTCACCTTGGGCCAAGGAAACACATCCAGAACCAGTAAGTGAGCCTCTGGAAAGAGTGGCCTCAAACCCTTGGTCCTCAGTTTCTCAGGTCTGTTTTCCCTTATACACCACTTTTATAAATCATGTTTGAAAAAAGCTAAGTTATCTGGTTCCTCAGATCTATGCAAAAGCGAAATAGCAAACTATAAAGAGTAGGCGTAGGGTGAGAAAAGGTATGCTTATCATGATGTCAACGAAAATTGACAGCTGTCTGCATAGGAAACAGTGAAGGAACTGGCCCACAGTGTTCCAGGATGATGTATAAACAGTTGGCTGTTCACAATGATAGTCCTGAGTCAAACAGTTCAATATTCAGATCTTGTGTCTAAGGCAGGGAAATGCACAGTGCATGTAACAACAACAACAACAACAACAACAACAAATGTTCATTTAAAAATGTTTTAAACAAGTTTCGGTCCCTTGAAGGGGTATGCTTTTCTTTCTGGAAAATTCACTCAGGAGAAACCTTTCATTCCCTAGCGATACTGGAAAGTGGCACTTGATTGGAATGCCTTATCTCTGGAGTACTAAAGGTGCCACCAGGCTGCCATATGAGGAAGTTAAAGCAGAGAACACCAGAGGTTGACAGTTAAGAGCTACAGGCATATATTCATTTATGTGTCTGTGTGTTCCTTCTCCAGAGAATCATTACGTGAGAAGCACACTTCCAGGTGTCTCTTGACTGGATTGCTTGCTGACACTCCCGATGATGATGATGATGAGTTAAAGGTGGGCATCATTGGAGGTGGCCACCTTGGGAAGCAGCTGGCTCGTGCACTGCTTCAGCTTGTCCCCATCCCTGCTGAGAACCTGAGGATTTCCACTCGCAGGCCAGAGGCCCTGGGTGAGGAGCAGTGTGTGGTAGCTCTTTAGGTGTTGATGAGGCCATTTTGAAGAGGTTCCTTGAAGGAGGAACCCCTGCACGCAACACGCTGAGTTCTCTGCCTGCTAGCCCTGAGAAAAGCTAGGAAGATGTGTGTGTGTGTGTGTGTGTGTGTGTGTGTGTGTGTGTGTGTTTTAAAGGTTTTATTTTTAAGTAACTTCTGCACCCAATGTGGGACTTGAACTCACAATCCTGAGATCAAGAGTCTCAAGCTCCACCAACTGACCCAGCCAGGGGCCCATGGAAAGATGGGTTTTAACTTGTTCCTTAAAACAACTTTCTTCTCATGCTTCTGTTTCTCTTCAGATCAAATAAATCTTTTGCTTTTTACTGGAACTAAAAAAAAAGAGGAAAACTTTCTTCTCCCTGTAAATGTTTTATATCCATCTCTCCTCCCTGTGCCCTTGGTGATAAAATAGCTTTCTGAGTCTTTGATACAGAAAAGTTTTCTAAAGAGAGTTCAGATCTTCTCATTGGACCAGTTAGAGTCTGTTGGGTATTAACCAGTTCCAAACATTTGGCCTTGTGTTTTTAAAAATAACAATTACTAAGTTTGAAAAAAATGTTTTATAATAATTTTACTTACTAGTCTATGATGATAGAGGTCAGAAGAGTGGTTGCTTCTGGGGAGACTGACAGAGGAGGGACCCAAAGGAACTTTTTGGGGAGATGAAAATGTTCAATATCTTGAGAAAGGTATGAGTTACATGGGTGTATGCATTTGTCAAAAATGATAAGACTAGATACTTCAGATGTGTGTGTGCCCTGTATATAAGTTATACTTCAGTAATAAAAGTATAACATAATTTTATGTATATTATAGGAAATTTAGAATATTCTATAATGAAGTAAATAATAACTATAATCCCCTTACCAGGGTTACCATTTCCTTCCTATATTTCTCTGCTCATATCAGATTATATCAGTAATTGATACTGTACAAAGTTGTTTGCATTCTGCATTTTTCACTTAATTTATCATAAGCATATTCTCCTATTACTTAACATTCTTCAAAATAATGATTTTAAGGCTATCTAGTATCCCAAAATATGGCTGTATGGTAATTTATGTTGTATTTGGTTGGATTTCCTTGCACATAATTTAAAAAATAAAATTACTAGGTCAGAGAATAAGTACATCTTTATTAAGATATAATTTGTGTATAATAAATTGCACATTTTCAAAGTGTACAGTTTGATGTTTTGACACATCTGTGTTTTGACACATCTTTGTACACCTGTGAAACCATCAACACAATTAAGGTAATGAACTTATTCATCACTCCCAAAACTTTCCTTGTAATTTCTCTCTCTACCTCCTTGCAGCTCCCCATGAAACCACTGATCTGAATTCTGTCACCATCAATTAGTTTGCATTTTCTAGAATTTTATATAAATGGAATAATACAATTTGTACTTTTACATTCTGACTTCTTTCACTTTGCATAATTATTTTGAGACATACCCATGTTGTTTCACATATTGATATTCTTTTTATTTCTGAGTAGTACTTCATGGCATGAGTATTCCATAGTTTATCTGTTCAGCTGGTGGTGGACATCCAGGTGTTTCCTGGTTTTAGCTATTATACATAAGGCTACTATGTACATTTGTGTACAGATATTAGTGTGGACAAATGCTTCAATTTTTCATAGGTAAATTCCTGGAAGTGAAATGGCTAGATCGTATGGTACGTTGTTTAGTTTTTTAAAGAAACTTCTAATATAGTTTTTCAAATTGACTTCCAAAAAGGGATGTATGCTTTCACCAGAATTGTGTAAGAACACCCATTTCACTAAAGTGGGTGGTGGGCATTGAGGAGGGCACTTGTTGGGATGAGCACTGGGTGTTGTATGTAAGCCAATTTGACAATAAATGATATTTAAAAAAAAAGAACACCCATTTCACTATACTCTTGTCAGTTCTGGGAATCCTTTTTTTTTTTAATAATCATTTAAATATGACTAAAATTTTTCTTGTTTAATATATTCTTCATTGATCACTAGAAGAACTGAATTTTTTTTTCAGGTTATAAAGGTGATTTATTTATATTTTTTTCAATATATGAAGTTTATTGTCAAATTGGTTTCCATACAACACCCAGTGCTCATCCCA